TTTGAATATTTAACCTTTTGTCTATGATATGAATTATGCTTAGCACATGTCAAATTTATTAGGTTGACAAGATAATAAAATTACAATAAATTATTGGAAGTGGTAGTTACAAATAATATAACCACTCCTTTAATTTCTCATTATCATTCAATTCATTGCATAGTTTTAAAAGAAAATTCAAACTCTCTTGAGCATCTAACAATTATATATAAAAGTGATAATTAAACACATGCTATGTTAGACAATATATTTTTTGAGAATTTTAATTGGTTTTTTTAGTACGATATAATTAATTGGTTATTGTTAGGGCAATGTAATAATAATTATTCCAAGTACATATATAGAGATATATTTAACAAAAAAAAAGTTCATAATTAACACAATTAAATGTATAGCAAAAAGCATGGAAGCGTGGGAGATGAAGGGTAAAGGCAAAATTCCTTCTTTAAACAAAGCTCTCGTAAGGAGTCCTATTGAAACCAAGAAATATAGGTTTGCTGCCATCCACACCAGAATAAATGAAGTTTTCCGAAAAAACCTGCCTACTCAAAAAGTTGGAAATTCGAATCCTCCGCCCCATTTCAAAAAGTCGGAATTCGAATGCTCCACCCCATTTCAAAAAGTCGGAAATAGCAATTTCATTTCGTTTTTTGTTTATTTTTAAAAATTAAGTTTAGAAATATTATTTTTGTGGTCCTTTGTGTTTATAAATATTTTCAAAATCTAGACCAAATTTCTAAAACCAGAAAAGTAATTTTCAAAAATTTATTTTTGTTTTTTGAAATTTGACTAAGAATTTAAATGTGTTTTCAAAAGAGGTGAAACCTTACTGCTAAAATTATATAAAAACGATCATAATTTTTAAAACATAAAACGTAAAACTAAAAACGAAAGGTTGAATGTGGCATCATAGTGTGTTTATGATAATTTCTTCCTATACAAATTAATATGTATTGATCTAACTTAACAATCAAATTTTAATTTCTACAATAATTAATGTAAAACTCTGTTCAATTACACAATCCATATAGTACTCTTTTATTATTATTTTTTATTTTGTTGAATCCATCAAAATCCTTTTTCAAAGTTTCAAACAATACGAGCTTCTTCCCAAATATACGACTTCCTCGATATAGTTTATCTCATCCAAATTTAAGCTTTTCTGTATTGTAATTCTAGTAGTAATATATCACAATATATGTCAACTTGAACATATAGCTTAATCGTGAATTCAATTCCCCACCCACATACTTAGTCATATACACACAAGAAATTAGACTAAATTTGAATCTATTCAACTCAAATTTGTTGGAATATAAGTTTTGGAAAACATTAAAATTGTGTTCTTGGGAATTCATACCCTTTTCCTCCTTATTTTGGACACTAAATTTCTAAAGAATATGGTAATTTCCAACCTTGTTTCATTCTATCCATGAAACTACTAATAACAATTACAATAATATACATCAACAAAAATAATTTGATATTGGATCAAAGCAACATGATATATTTCAAAAGCTTTCAGAATTAACTGCAGAGATTATAGGTAGCTATATATATAATTAATGACACTATACTTACAAATTTCTCAAAACAAGTTCACTTTTTTCTACAAGCTCTTCTGAAGAATGAAGTTTCATTTCCAAATCCCACCCTTCAAGGAGAGAGTTTGCATCCTAATTAACTTGTGTATATTTTGAAGAATTCAAAGTGGCTCCCATGTCTAACTGAATTATAGTGCTCGCTCGTGGTTTTCTACCACGACCCGAAGGACAAATTAGAGAGAAAACTTTAAAACCTTAACTTCTCTATATAATCATTTAAAATCTAAGATGAATTTGCTCGGCCTTCCACAGATGCTAGCTAGCTCTCGAGTTCCCGTCCGCCCCGTCTTTACCGGAACCGCCATCGTGAAGCAGCTGCTTCAGGTTGAAGTTTGCTGGAAAGGGTTTCAAGTTTTGTGAGCCAAAAGGCTGGAGAGGTGAATTGGGAGGCATGAAGGGATTGGGCAAAGCATGTGAATTTGAGCTCAAGAAATGGATGTGGCTTTCAAATGGGTTGGTGATATATGAAGCATAGGGAGTGAAGAATAGGGCAGACCCAGAAGAAGAACTTGTTTGGGCCTCAACTTGTGATGGAAAAACTCCATTATTATTGTTCCCAAATTGTGAATGCTGATGATCACAAGTATTGTAATGGTAAGAATTAGAATAATTGTTTATTGAGATGAACTTTTGAGCTGAAATTTGCTCATTATAATCTTCCACTTGCTGGCTGTTACTTCCATGATCAATCCACTTCCCTTTCGTCGCCAAAGATGCTTTCTCTTGCGGTACTAAATCCGTATCCCAAAGCTTCGTTTTCTCCATCGTTGTCTGATTCAGATGCGTCGTCGTTGAATCCTTCGTGTCAACAGCAAAGGGATGAGGGAGCGAACAAAACTGCGAAGAAGAAGAACTAGAATAATCATATTGAGCTGGGAACAACGACATCGGGTGGTGAAATTGAGAGAACCCTGCCGGGATTTGGAGCGGGGGGAGCTTGTCGATATCGAGCTTCGTGACGTCGAGGAGCCAATCTATGACCTTGCTAGGCTGCCCAAGTTTGAGCTTGTCTTGAAGATCATAGAGCTGAATTGCTGTTGGTACTGAAAGTCTTATCCTTCTATCTCTCAAACCCCTAATTGTGCAAACTTTGCTATGCCTATCTTTGCCTCCAAATGAACGAGAAACTCTAACAATTCTTGGATTTCTGAATCCTGACCATTGTCTAGAACTTGTGGGAGCCCTGGGAAAACTGTATTTTCCATCAATAATTCCCTCTTGTTTTGCTTCACAACCCTTTTCTTTTGAATCTCTCAACATCTTTTATGATCTCTTCTTCAATTTTTGCTCCATCGTCATCTCCAAAAATCAAACAAAATAATCCTTTTTTCTAGTGTTGAGGGGACAACAGATCATCAGCTGTAATAAGATGAAAATTAGAATGATTACAACTCAAAAAAAAGTTTTCTTTTGAAGCTTTTTTCTAAATAAATGAACAATAATCATAGCTAGCTCTAGCACTCAGATCCATTGAAACCTTGAAGAAAAAGTTCAAGAAATCACACAACACAATCTAAAAATCAAAATCCAGTTGTTTTAGGATTGAAGAACTTACATTTTGGAGCTGACCCAAGAAATCTTTCAGTTGTTGGGACAATTGTTCACCAAAAAAGGAGTTCAAACATATGAAACAGCTGAGTTTTTGGCTTTCAAAATGACTCTAAAAACTTCCTTCCTTCTTTGAAAGCTAAGGGAATCTCAAACTTTAGCAAGGAATGACAGTAATATATGATGGGGTAAAGAAAAGAAGATGCCAAGAATTTATCTAACCCTCTCCCTCTCCATGTTGCATATATATCAAGATAGAAAAAGGGAAATTAAAGGTAAGGCGTGTTCTCGACCACGTGGCACGTCGTTTTTTCGACGACGCGTAAACGAAAAAACGATCCAACGGGTGACAGTTAATTTCGTCATCAATTTTATATCTTCATATATATAATGCAGCCAAAAGGCTGAATCAAAATGAGGTCTGCAGGCTGGAAAAAAATCCACCTTGGTTTAATTTACAACTTGATTCATTAATTAGCCATCAGAATGGCAGTACCAAGGGAAAATATGGTATAAATATATTTTAATTGTGACTAAATATATTTATAAAAAAAAAAATCCCTTTGGGGGACCATCCAAACAAAGGGGAGAAAGTAAAAGGGCTACTGCCCTTTTTCAGCATTTGCCAAACAGCTTTATTGGTTTGTTTTAATACATCTCATGAGTGTTGAAGAATTTGCATGCCCTAGAACAAACTATACATATATCCAAAAGAAAAGACACACAATCCATATCCAAAACCCTAATTTATTGTTCTTAACTTTTTAGTTTGAAGAGAAAGAAAAAAAAACACTTCATTTTTCTTTATTATTCTTCACTAAACTTGATTAGGTGTTCAATCTAAATATGGGGTTGTTTTTAGATTTCTCTTTCAATAATTCAAGATGGGGTGTGGTTGGATTTTTTTTTTTTTTCAAAAATTTAGCTTACTTATTTGTTCAACTATTTAATTTCTTTGTTTATCATTATTTTTCACTTGTTAAAAATCAAAAACTACTTGTTTTGGTTCTTTAAAATGTGTAAGGATTTTAAAAACGCTTTTAAAAGTACATAGACTACAAAAATGAAGTGTATACCAAGACTCATAATCGACACATCCTCTTGGTCAATAGCTAAATCTCCTCTTGTTTAATTATTATATATCTACCATTTCTGTAAACTGAAAAGCTTTCGTATAGCTTCCTTTTGTATATATGTTTTCACATACTTTATTTTGAATGAAATGGTTTCTTAAAAAAAAAAGTATATATATACATGTAGCTTAAAAACAGCAAAAAGAGAATCGTTATCAGATGGATCGTCATAGAGAGATCATTAGGGAGAATCGTTATCAGATGAATCATCATAGAGAGATCATTAGGGTTTCGGCCGAATTACTCAAAAAGTAGTTGCTTTAAGCAAAAATATGAAAGCTAACTAAAAGTAAGTGCATAATTGGATTAGGAGATCAAAAGGGATCAAGGCATAGAGTCAAAAGAAAAAAAATTAGGGTTTTCTTTGCAAAAGGTGTGGTGTGTAATTTTGGGATGTATTGGATTATTTAGAAGATATATAGTAGAAAATTAAAGCTACATAGCAACTCCCCAACTTAGTAGATGAGGGACCAATTAAATGTAGGTTCTTTTAATTTAAAGGCATCCAACTCAATGCCAATAAGGACCACAGGCATGCAATAGAGAGATGGTGGCAGTGAGATTTTCACAGCTCAACTTGAACTTTGTATTTATTATATCAACTTTCAATTTTTAATTCATGGTGTGTAATATTTTAGAATACATGATTAAATTTTTCGTTCCTTTTGGATCAATGGTTTTATAGGTTAATATTACATCACAAATATAGGATAAGGTAGGAATTCAAATCTAAAAACGAGTCTTTAGGGGAGAGATAGAGAGATGTTTTGATCGCTGAGCTTAGATTTTTCTTAAGTACTAATCTCCATGTTATAACATCAAATGATCGTAACAATATTTAATGTAATCAAAAGCTTCTAAGAAAAATGGTGAAAGTCGTACTAATCCCTAGACCTAAAGTCTAGGGACACGTCATTAGTATCTATTATAAATGGTTAGCATACATAGTTTCTTTCGAGTACACTTTTAGTTTTAATAATAATATCCCTAATATATATTGTTAACCCATATTAAATTTTGCCTTCTAGCAAGCTTTTCCATTATCATTAATATAAAAATTGACTTTAGGGACACAAAAACATGCATTCTATAACCCTAATGTTTAACATTAAAAAGAAAAAAAAAACACAATTCATATGATAATTATTAGTCTTTGGAATATGAACAATTTAAAGTAGTTAAATGATTCATCAAAATAACTCAACTTTGACATGATCGCCACGGTTTTTGGAATCGATCGCAAAATGTCCTTGCAAAATTTATTTTTTCGGGCATCTTCAAACAAATACTTTAAATCAATTGGATTTGATTTAAAAGGTTTAAATCATGGTCGCAGTGATGAATTCTCCCTCATCCATGTTTTCTCACACCCAACAAACCCTAAAACCCTAAAAGTAGTGCAACTAAAAGTGCTTTAGCCCACCATATGATAAGGCTTTTTTATTTTACTCAGAGTATAAAACATTCAGGGCAGCCATGAAAAAACCTTAAACCCTTCAAAATATCATATGTTTTTTGGAGAGAGAGAGAGGAGAGTTTTATTTGTTTTGAGTAGTTCTATAATGGATAAAATGGGAATCTCAAAGGCAAAATAATTTAAGAAGATTAATAGAGATGCTGTACTAGCTGCACTGCCAACAATGGTAGAGCCAGTCAAAAAGGCTGAGCCCTACTTTATATCTCCATCTTCCATGGCAGTAGAAGAAAGAGAAACAAACAAAAAAAAGGAGAAAAAAACAAACAAAAAAAACCCTAGCCGAAGAGAGCAGAGCCAAAAATTTTCGAAGGGATGGAAGGGTTAAAATCAAATTTCTTGTTTCTAGTACATTCTCATTTCAATTTTTTCAAAGTAGATATAAAAGCATTATTTTATCATTCGTGGACGACTAAAAAAATAATTTTTTTTAATTTAAAATTAATGAAAAGAACCCGAAACAAAAAATTGTTACATATCTGTTTCTTTTTAAATAAAAATAAATAAATAAAGAACGCAATTTTTTTTTTTTTTGAAGAAAAAAAAAACACTACTAAACTCAAAATTCATAAGAAAGAACTGAGAGAGGGCAACTTTTTTCTCCCTGCCCTAACTTTTAAAACAACCAACAAAAAGAGGCTCTTGATTATATGTTGTACTAAACTCAAAATTCCTATAAATACCCTTTATTTCCCTTTTAATTTTCTGTCTTGTGAAAGCATTTTTTTCCTTCTTTATGATTAAAAAATTGAGACTTTATTATATTTAATTTAAGTAAGAAACTCAAAATGAATGGTCCCTTTTACCTGAATTACCCAACTGACAGGACCTCTTTTCATTGATTAGGGTTTTCTTCTTCCAAAAAGAAGAAAAAAATTATATTTAATTTTGAAAAACCATATGATTTTGATTTCTGATGTGTGTGTGTATGTTTTTTTATTTTTAGGGTTTTAAATTATGTGTACAGTGAAGACTGGGAGTTTGATGGAATAAAGTGATGGGATTGAATGAAAATATTTCTTAGCCTATGATTGTTCTTTCTGTATTTTTCTTTTTTTCTATACAAGTACTATAGCTTCTGCAGAGCCCTTTTGGAGAATTTTTCTGAATTTTTTTTTATTTCCCAAAAACAGTAGTTTATGTTTCAGATATGGAAATTAACCTTAAATAACCCATTTTCAGCAGCAGAAAAACCTTGAAAATTAATTAATTAGTTAATTACTTTCCAATTAACTGATCTCTCTCAAAAAAAAAATCCCATACAAAAAATTATAGCTAGGTTGGATAATCTTTTCCTTCGTGGTTACAATAAAAAAATATTTCATCTACTATATGATAGAGAGCCAGGTTTTAATTTGGAAGCAAAGAAAAAAAAAATATATATATATATATATATAAGTTTAATTTTTGGTTTTGGAACTAAAACGGAAACCTAATTTCAACTTTGAGGTTAAATTAATTTTTAGTTGGTATGTTTTAACATTCAATATGAGTTCATGTGGGCATTTAAAAGGTTTCAATAACGTCCCCTGATGTAAAAATATCCCTATGTAGTAAAAGGTGGCAACACAAATTTAATTCATTTTGAAGAAAAGTCATAGATTTCCGATAGAACATTATTCATTGGACTTTAAAACAACGCCTTAAAACTCCGCCAACATGAGTATAGTTCATCGGTAATTGACAACTACTACTTTCTTTGAAGTCGGAGATTCAAACTCTCGTACCCATAATTTGTTGTACTAAAAAAACATCTTAAAACTACTACATGACTGGTGAAACCTCATGTGGATGGAGCGGAGAAGGGAAGGAGAGAGGGACATTGCCCGAATCTTGCCTCATATTAAATTTATAGCTTAACTGTCCACACGCGACTTCCGATCACGACATCACACCATCCACTCATCTTATGTCTGTAGTGGGGTTGGTCCCCTCTGCTATGTGTCACTCGTGCTCTCCATGTTTGCGGCTTAATTTTCACTTTCAAAAGTTAGAACGTAAAATTTTACTCCTGTATGAAACTTTTTTTCTCCTCTCCCCATAGTATTTTTTAAGATCAAAAAATCCAAACTAAAGAGAAGTGAAACCCAACCAGATTTTGAGAACGTGAGAAAATCCAGTTTCTCCACGAATGAGGCCCATTATTTGAGAGTAAGGAATTGGCTGCAAATGAAAGAGCAACCACAATGAGACTTCAATATGAGAGAGAGTCTTTGAAAGTGATTGTGAAGCATTTTCCCTGTCACCTTCTTCTCCGATCATTGTTTAGAATTGACGATTCATTTGTAGTTTTTGAGTAACATATCAAAGAGATCTACAATAATCCATCTCTATAATTTTTTTATCTTTCTCTACCACATTCTATGGTTGACAAAAATATGTCGTCGAAAATGAAAAGAAATGCTCTCGAAAGAACATGAAATTCAGTTAAATCATAAGTTTACTAAATGTTAAGTAGTCTATTAGTAGTGTGGAGCTACTTTGTTTCTTCTCAGTAGGAGAGTAAAAGGAGCCTTAGAAAGTCGATAAACATTGATTTCTACTTTGGGTGTGACGTTCAACATCAAGCTTTAGTGAACTTCGTAACCTTTGCATAGCACAGGTAGAAATGAACACCACTACGTATAGTTGCCGACAAATTCTTTTACAGAATTCGCTCAGTTACTAGCCTACCCATCTAATGAAATTAATGCACCTACCACGCTTAAGTTACCACATTATGTAATATAAGTATATAACACTTACATAATATAATAAATGTCTCACACATGGACACGTTAAATGAATATAGTTAATGTTAAAGACGAACTAATGGATCCAAAATTAAAGGTTTGATCATGCAATTGAGAGACAAATTTTGTACTTTAACCTTAGATGAAAACAAGTTACTCTTTGAATAAATCAATATTTTCTATTTTTTCCTTTTATAAGAATTTTATATTATATATGATTTTATCAGCTCTTTTTTTTTTTTCTTTTTGTGGATCTGATCCTTGATTGGGGTAAACCATTCCTTGATGATTGGCAGAAGTGGATGTCAGAATTTTCTGCAATTGCATAAAGTGGATCATCAATTATTGATACACCAAAGTCCAAACAATATTTTATTCATTTATGACAATAATTAAAAATAAAGAACTGACAATCTCAAAATAATATTTTATATATAAGATCTGAGGTGTGGGCTTTAAACCAGTCCTTTGCTTCAGTTTCTTCTGGGCAGAGCAGAAACACACGCCATAGCCAGCCATACACAAACAGTGGAATAATGGCTTTCAATGGAAGAGATCAGGCCAGCCCCATTACTCTTCTTTTGTACTATTAGCAACTTTGCTTTCAATTTCACACAGTTTGGAAGTTTAATTTTCGAGCCGTATTCTTTGTTCAAATGATGTTCGAGTAGTTTGTTTTTCTTTCTTTCTCCCTGTAGATTGTTCGTCTTTTAGAACGGTTGAAGATGTCATTTCTTCGAGGATACGAGCTAGTAGAAATGACAAAACTCCCCAGAGATACCTACACGAAATAGGACAATGAAGTTAAGGCCAAGAATAAATGAATCTTTCCCTCCAAAATTATGTTCGAGAACATGGATGAAGAATGCATTCCAATTTTCACCAACTGTTCTAAAAAATACTTTTTCAGAAAAAAGAAAAAAAAGTTTCCAAACAACTCCTAAATAGAGGAGGATAGAATCTGACTCCAAAGTGAACAGCAAAGGAGGCTACTTAGCTCATAATATTGAATTATCATCACTATTATTGAAAGGAGAAAAACAAAGAAGGTAAGAATAATCCGTCAAAGGAGATAACCATAGACTGAATACCAAGAATTATAACAAAGTACAGTCAAGATGGAATCTGTAGCCCACACAAGTTTCTTATGATAACAAGATGGAATACCAAAGTTTCAGGACAAACAAAGAATTTCAGCCACACGTATAAAGCTTCTTATGATAACAATGAAAAGGGATTCTTACATAAATGATGTGGAAGAGATGGAGCCAGGGTGGTACCGTTGAGCTCTTAAATGGCCCCAGGGTTGGTTGGATGTCAACCTCCTAGGAATGTAATATTTGGCATCGATCCACGTCTTGAATCCTCATAACCAAGCAAACTTCTTTCATTCTCTCCAATGATTGAACTGAAGATGAGACATCAAAATAAATCATGTAAAGATCAGATGTAAAGTTTGCATCAAAGTCAATCATAGAGTTCACGCTTATCATTTGTGTGATTGAAGGTAACAGCCATCAATGTCGGTAAACAGAAACTTACATCGTCTATTCGATTTTTTCCACGTCTTTTCCCTTCTTTTTTCCCCCTTTCCGAAAACTAACATATGTTCCAGTTTAGACACCACAAAAAATATGACTCTTTCAGCACAGGTTTAGAGATGGAAAATAAAACACAAGTGGGAGACTAACAAAATAGACAAGTATTAACCATCATAACTTAGTGGAATAGTCAAAAGAACAAGTGGTAAAAGGTTGGAAGTTCTTGAAGTTATGAATTCAAATCAATGTCTTTCACCTGCTTTAAATATCAAATATCTTAAGAATTTTCTAACACGGAATCCAGCAATTGTCTCAAGATTGGTTGAAATGTGTATCAACAAACTCAGACACAGATATTGTGTGTGTGTGTGTATATAATAGACAAGTAGATATCCCATTCATATTTCCATGCTGTTATATTGAGATTTTAAACAAACACAGTCATTAACAAAGTGAATCCAAGATGCAAAGTATGGTAATCGCCCTCTATTGAAGTCAAGGACCCTAAGTGAATGCCTCAACCATATATAATAATTCTACCTTGAGTGAAAGGCAGGGCAACATAACAATAAGTGAAGTGGGTTACTTTTCCACTATTCCATGTACCTAAATTCCTAATAACAAGTCAAATGGTACATAACTGAAAAAAGAAACTTCAATGGATAAAACATATATTAAACATTGCTAGGCTACCTTTTGTTGTACCTAATTATGCAGGTAATGGGGACTGACCTTATTAATATCAATTATCTGTTGGCAGAAAGCCATATAACGACTTTTAGACAGAATGGAGCAAAATCTTATTATATGTTTTGGGTTGGTGCCTCATGGTTGATTGCAGTATCGCCTGGCAGGAGAACTCATAAAAATCCAACTTCTGCATCAAAACTGCAAAAGAAACAAGTTCATCGTCTATAAATATGTATGGTATACACCTCCTATCTGAAGGTTAATAGAAAATTAAAATTAGAAGAAAAAAAGGTTCATGAAAAAAATACACACAGACATCACACAGATGACGCTTGTGGAGAATGACTGTTCTAAAATTTTTAATCTTTGAACTACAAAAATGTGCAACTCTCTCTTCTTGCATATTTTTTCTTTTCCAGAATGTGGATCGATTTGGGCTTTACTCATTTCTTAACTGAGCTTTGAGCTTTAAGTCTTGTCGACAAGGCGTACTGATGGCAAGAGAGCTTCATGGTTCAAAGTGCATGGGTGACGATCAATAAACAATATTTAAAACCAGATTAGCTATGAAGCATAGAGAACCAAGATTGAGACTGCGATTCTGTTGTAGCAGAAGGGAACTTCACAATAAAATGATCGTAGACCCCGATGAGCCCCAATTATAGAGCTATAAATGTATGATCTCAATACGCAAAAAAAGACAGTTTATTAAGTGAAATGCACAAATCATATGTTCAGAAAGAATTTAAGAAGCATGGAAAATGCAAGCACAATACAATTTTATACTGGTTTGAAGTCATATTGAGGCTTAAGATTAAGTTCCATTCCCTCAGATAAGGTAAGGTAGCTGACATCTCATAAGTAAAGAATCAATTTGTACCAGCTAGATTTGATGCAATGGGAAAGCATTAACATGCTTTGCAAGCAAAACAATAACCATGGGGACGAATTGTTAAACCGCCAAGGCACCAACCAAATAACATAGTTGTTGGCTCAACTTGGAGCTTAAGAAAACTATATTTAGCATTCTAGCTTGACCTTCCCAACATCATAAGGTGATTTATGCTGTGATAAAATCACTAAATGTTTATTCCCATGTTCAGTCAAGCAGAAATTATGTGTCTAGAAGTGATAAAATAGTAGTTATTGACCAAGACAGCTTAATAACCTTAAATTGTTTGTCCTCGGCTTAAAAAACAGCTTAGTGACCTTATGCTTTATTACATTTTGAGTAGATTAAGGAACATTTTACTAATAAATTTAAAAAGGAGCAGATGAAAAATAATTCCCACCAACCTTTACGACAAAGACAAAATCCAGAAAGCAACATACATGGATCACCTAAATAATCTAAATCTAAATCCGTGAAAAAGACTATACAGCTCTATGATAACTGACCTAGATTCCGATCGGTTTTGAGAAGATTGTATCGGTACAGCCTAGAACATAATTCAAACAGACACAAACAAACAAACATAAAAAAAGATATTGAATCAATTCCTACCACTTTACACTACAAACACAAAACACCCAAAAGCGTACAACGAGAAGCGCTGTTAATTTAGGACAACAAAGAGATCCACCTCCAAATGCTTCCGATACCCTCCGCCACGGGCGTCGCCGTCCTCATCGGAAGTCTTCTCTCCGATCAGCCACTCAACTGCGACCTTCTTGAAAAATGGTATCGCGTAGAGGGGGCGATTGCGACGCCGATTCTTTATATCATAAACGATTTTCCGATAATGTGGGGACAATGGGCATGAGCTCGTGGGCCCTATTCTCCGGCAAGGTCCCGTGATCTTCCATGGCTTCTTGAGTGATGGGCAGCCGTTCGGCAATGGGATTAGGCAGGGGAGACTAAAACGAAGGCTTGGACTATGCTCCTCATTCGATTCGAACTATATGAATCGAAATGGATTATAAGTTTCTTCCGATTAAATTAATTCAAACTTTATGGATATATATTCCTAAACTGATCCTGGAATTGAATTACCTTGCGAATCGGATTGGATTATCTGGCTATCGTGCCGTTTATTTTACAACATTTTTAGCAACCATTTTCTTTTTTATTTTCTATTTTTAAAAGTTTGGTTATAATTATAAACAATTTGCATCTTTTCCTTTTCCATAAAAGCGACATAGATCCACAATAATTGATATATATCTCAAATCGAGATATTATGATTTTGATCTCCTACTCTCATATATTGTACTAAGAAGAAAAATAATTTACATCTTTTTTTTATTATTTATATTCATGAGTATCCAGACTAACTTACATGCTCATCTGCTAATATGAGACAACAGATTGATCCTACTACATTTGATTGTCGAGTAAATACATAGAAAATTAATTATTGGGTAAGTGATCAAGTACGAGTCATTATCTTTTAAGTCCTTTTGATCCCTTCTTTTAAAGTTATATTTATAAAAAAAAAATTAGCAATTAATGACATCCAATTGAATTAATATATATTTTTTAAAATGTCACTGCTCCTTTTTATTTTAATATAGCATAATTTTAAGTTAGACTTTAATAGAATTATGATGTTTTTGTACAATTTTAAACTTTCTGCTAGGTTTAGAAGTATGTATTTATTTTATGTTATTTATACTATTACCTCCTTGGATTTTTAGAACGTTTTTAGAATATGAATGACAAAACAAATAAGTAGGTAAAAATAGTATTTATAAAATTGATTTTAAGGGGAAAAAACCAAAGTAAAATGGCTATTTAACAATTTGGAGGATAACATAATATTTATAAAATTGATTTTAAGGGGAAAAAAACTAAAGTAAAATGGCTATTTAACAATTTGGAGGATTGGTCCATCATTTTGGATATAATCATTTTGGAGAGAACAAGGGAAATCTCTAATACTAAGGCATACTATTTTATTCATAATTCAACATATCATTGTGTAATATATTATCTTATTTGATAAACCTCGTATTATTTTTAAACTTTATTTATGTAGAAAATAATGAATGACAATAGCGTAAAAAAATTCAAATTATCCAGTATTACAAATTTTTTCATAAATTTACAATTTTTAGAATAGATTTGATACAACTTAAGTATAGTTCGACCACCTATATTGTTGTACTCAAAAACTTAAATTAAAATACTTATCAATCCATMTTAACCCATCAAGACTATCGTCGACAAAAAAAATTATAAGTACATATCACTTAAATTTTATAAATATCRTTTCAATTTTTTAAAATTGCATTAAAAGATTTATCAATCCAACTCAACTCATCAAAACTATAAGAAATAGAATATAAATTTATAAAATATAATTTCAAACTTTTTAAAGTTGCATTGGTTAAAACATACTTTTTGTTGGTTTTATTATTAATAATTTGTTATATTTTTTTATGACAAATTATTAATAATAATAAAATAAATTGTAATTTGTTATAAAAATAATAATAAAACCAACAGAAAAGTAACGACGAACAAAATGGAAAATAAAAAACAATAAAATCAATATGAAACTCTTGACCTTTGGAATAAACCCACGTCAAGCATATCAATTGTATTATATTTAAGTAATAAAAAAAATTGTATTATATTTAACATTAAAAAATAGACCAGACAAAAAAAAAAAGTCATACATTAAGGGAATATTCATCGTGCTTTTGCTTATTATTTTTTGCGGTCAAAATTGACTAAAAATCTCTAAAAACATATATTTTGAAATTTGCACACATTTTCTTAGAATTTTCGTGGATCATCACACGCGATTTAAGTCAAAATTCAATAAACAGTTAGTTGTTCGATGGTCGTAAAATTGTGTGAAAAAAAACAATATTGAGGGTTAAATTATTTCAATTCTTGTATTTATTTAAGTTTGCTCCATTTTAAAAATTTATAAACATAATTTCAACATATTTAAAAAAAATTAATGTCTTTTAATTTTTTAAGTTCACCAGTTGTGACTAATTTTGTATAAATTATTTAGAAATATATATACACATCTCAATAATACATTGGTATTTTACCAAGACAAATCACAAGTAGGGAATTACAAGTATTTAACAAGGTATGTGTTAGTTAATGTGAAACTTAAATGTGACATAAACTTTTTTTCCAACTTTTGTTTAACTAATTCAAGCATTTATCTCTAATCTAAAAATCACGATTTCAAATTTCTATCCATACTAAAAATATTGATATTAATTAAGAAGTAGAGACGATAGATTTTTATTATAAATATCACAAATACCGACACCGATACCAATATTTTTATAAGTAGAGATTTTTATTATTAAAAAAGTTATGTCACATTTAAATTTCACTTTAGCTACGACGTACGTTTCCTTGTTAAGTACTTGTAATTCCCTACTTGTGATTTGTCTTGGTAAAATTTATTATTGAGACGTGTATATATATTTCTAAATAATTACTATTTGCCTTATTTAATTTTTGTTGTTTTAAAATTAGACAATTTAAATTAAATAGTTAAGCTTTTCATTTTTTTAATTGCTATTTGCCTCGTCTCATGGATTAATATTTAATTTAAAACCATACAAACTTAAAATATTGATATCAAGTGTCTACATTAACTTTGGTGTATTAAGAAATAAAAATGCAAAAGGAATAAAAGATCGTTTAAAGTCTAACAAATGTATTAAAATAAAAATTAAAAAGAAAAGAAAGAAAAACCACATCAATGCAAAATTAAAAGTATTAATAAATATAAATAAATATTAATTTGTATACATAAGTATCATCAAGATTAAATTATTGTCTATATTAATTACATGTAAATATAAATTGTTGTCTATGTTAATTKCATGTAAATATAAATTGACGAATATTTAGTAAAGACATATATTTCTTTTGGTTTAAATTTTCATACGAATTAAGAAAAATTAAAATATTTACACTATAATATTTATGCCATTTTTTAGTGTTATCTTTGTTTATTTTTTATTTAAAATTCATCTTCAAAGTTTTTACAATCATTGAAAAATGTCGTGTGAATTTTACTACCAATTATATCGTATAAGTGGATAAATTTTGTTGATTTTACAAGTATATACATTTATTTCATCTATTAAAATTTCAAAATAATTACTAATATATATATATATATATATATATATATATTTTTTTTTTTTTGAAATAATACTAAAATATATTTTGATAATATAGTTCTTTTGTTAATATTTTGATACAGCAAACACTCGAGGGAAGAAAACACATGAAATTAAAATAAAAAATATTATAAAATTCAGAAACTAGATTGAAAAAATGATTTTTTTAATATTACCAGTATTTAAAATTATTTTAAAAATAATGTTAGTTACAAACTTATTCCAAAAATGATATTTTCAAATTTTATCCACTACCAAATCATCTCTTACGGTCTTATCATATCCACTTTCAACAATAGGTTAAGAGACGACCTACATACTTGGCATTGCATGTCGTCTTTATACAACCGCGTTGCATTATTTAAAAACAAAAACTTCATAAACCAAGTTTAAATAAAAATTACCACTTTGGTGAAGTGACTATATTCTCGTTTTCTAATTGATAGGTCTTTGATTCAAGCTTCACAATATTATTATTGTTATTATTTTGTTTATTACCCAATATAACGTTATATAGCAATTTTTTCCTTTTAAAGCAATTTAAATAAATGTTACTCATTGACATTTATTTTATCTTCTAAAATAAAATAATTAGTATTAAAAAATAACAATAATTATAAAATAAATATTCCTAATAAAATTGAAAGGAGAAAAAAAAAAGTACAAAAACAAAACACCCTTTTCTCAGCTCTCATCAAAATCAAACCATTGTATATAATGATATAAAGCGGCTCAGAATCTTTGCTCTGTGTTTCGTATTCTCTACTTGTTTTCTAAGCGCTCGGATCTCTCTCTCTCTCGGAAGCTCGATTCTCTGCCCTTCAAGCAGGTGCTCGTTTTCTTCTCCCTCTTGCTCTCTTCAATGTTCTTGTTGTCCGGATGTTTGCTCCCGTATTTTTGTTTACTTGATCTGTAATAATCGGCGTGTGCCAACGTTTGATGAATGATCTATCGATGATTACTAATTTCTGGTCAATTCTGCTCTTCTTCTTCTACATACGGTTGATCTGTATTAGGGTTTTGCGGGGTTTCATTTTATTTCCCTTTTCCTGCTTAGGGCTTAGCGCTATCGGTCGCCTTGTGCAACTCATTGCTGTTCCTCTACGATTTGCCCCCATTTTCTTCCCGCTCTTGGTTTCTAGTTGTGTTTAAATTCCGCTTAACTCTCCTTCATTGGGTTCTTCCCCGTTTTGTATATTTCATCACATCAATGAAATATTTGTTTCTCATTAACAAAAAAATGATTCCTCTTAACTCTCACTTGTATTGTGGTTACAAGTATACAGCGTGGTCGTCTATTGCAAGTGTCGTGTAAAATCATCCGACTATTTTTGCATATATGTCCTGAAGTCGTCTACGGCGATGAACTATGGGTTGTCAGTCGTAAGAAGAACATATTGCTGATATTATTGTTATTAATTTTGCCCGAGATTTTACTTGAGTCCTCAGTTCATTAATTTATTAAACCCTAAATAACTGCTGCTTTGTGTGATATTTAGATGTCGCTGGTTAGGCACTTCTTTTACCATTTCTTTTTGGGTTTTATTTTTTTGCAACAGTCGTATTCTTATCTTTGTTCTTATAGGTCATACGTGCTGAACAATGTTTTTAAATATAATATTTAGTTTAGTTGTTTCTCTTGGATTCGAGTCACATTTCTATTCAACCAACAATTAAGGTTTTAGGTGAATTTCCTGGTATTAGTTTTATTGCATTTCATTAAGATTTGCTCATGTTAGTGCTCTAAATTATCGTGTAGATGGCGGCAACACAGGAAGCCAGTTCTTCCCCTGCTCCCAGTGCACAAGTGGTTGGGAATGCGTTTGTTGGGCAGTACTATCACATCCTTCACCATTCTCCCCAATTGGTGCATCGGTTTTATCAGGATTCTAGTTTACTAAGTCGTCCAGATGTCAATGGAGCGATGACAACAGTGACGAGCATGCAGGTAAAGTAGTTTTATGAGTGTATATTTATGATATTGCCTTCACTCTATACGGCTGGAGAATAATTATTGAACCTTATTTTTTTGGAGTCAGGGATATAAATAATGTAGGTTCCAATCATGTGGTTAATAGTATTGTGGTTATGATTTTAAAATTGTTTATGGTTACGATAAAATGGTTTTTGAGTTCCAATGTCTCGTCATTGTAACTTGAAGTTGAACCATTTAATATTCATTAGTTTCTTGTAAAGAGCTGAATTTTTCCTGCTTGTCTGAATTGATTAGATCGATGAACATTTCTTATTGTTACGGTCTATGGAGAATTTTTAGTTCCAAGTGCATAGTTGCCACTTAAAGTCCAATTTGTATTGTGACAGGCTATAAATGACAAGATCATATCCCTGAATTATGGAGACTATACAGCAGAAATAATAACTGCCGATGCTCAGGAGTCTCATGAGAAAGGAGTGATTGTTTTGGTAACAGGATGCCTAACTGGCAAGGATAATTTGAAGAGAAAATTTTCCCAAACATTTTTTCTTGCTCCTCAGGACAAAGGCTACTATGTCTTAAATGATGTGTTAAGATATGTTGAAGAGACTGAATCTATTCGAAGTAACTCTTCTTCTGGTGATGCCAACAAAGAGAATACGACAACAGCTACTTCAACACCAGAACCGGGTATATACTTTTTTCTGGTACAATTTACTTTGTTATGCCTAATTGCAGAATTGTGAGATAGCTTTCTGCTCCGTTTACAGAACCATCTCATGCTCCCAATCATCTCACTGTGGATCCTGAAATGTCATTGGAAGAGGAAGATATGAATAATGATCCTGAAGTTTGTGACCCTTCCAGTAATGAGGAAGGATCGGTGATCGAAGAGGAGGAGGTTATTGAACCCCCGCACCCAAGTGAGCACGAAGTAGTTGTGACAGTAGACTCAGCCCCTGTTGCCCAAGAAGATGCTCCAAAGAAGTCGTATGCATCAATTGTGAGTTATTGATTTCTTCTTTCTGCATGTTTATTATTTTGATGCCAATCTCCTTTCAGACATTGACTTTTAGCTGACTTGATATTGTTCAGGTCAAGGTACCAAAGACAGCATCGGGTCCTGTTTATGTTGCAACTAGTTCTGTTAGAGCACCACCTCCTACCAATACTGATCATCAGTCTATTGGCCTGGTTAAACCTGCGACGGTTCCTGATGTTTCTGCAGCAAGTGGTGACAACCTTCCTGAAAGTAGTAACCTTCATGAGGAAGGTGTGTATGTGTGTGCCTTTTTTATAACTGGGAGTTGGAGTAGGAGCTTTGCTCTCCTAAACCCGGGAGACATCAAGGATTTTTTTTTAGCACGCTTATGTTTATATATATGGATATATATTTCTCACTCGTTTGTGTATGCATTCTTTTACGTTTTGCAACTATGTACAAATTATTAAATCAATTTAATAACACTTAGGTTGTTATTTTTCCACCGGTTTGTCATGAAGACACATTTTCATTTACTTTGAAATTTAATATTTTGCCGATGCTCATTACAGCTGAAGGTCACTCCATATATGTCCGGAACTTGCCATTTGATGCAACGGTTGAACAACTTGAGGAAGAGTTTAAGAAATTTGGGCCTATTAAGCGCGATGGTATCCAAGTTAGGAGTAATAAGGTCCTCTTCTAATAGCTTGTCTTGCATTTGATTCCAATCTGATTTGTGTTTTTATCATATCAACATTTTCTTTTATGTTTTATTCTTCCCGCAGCAAGGATTTTGTTTTGGATTCGTTGAATTTGAGCAATTGAGCTCTGTGCATGGTGCACTCGAGGTAACAATGATTACTGTGCACATCGACCTTATTATTGCAATTGTGAAATTGTTTAATATGTTACTCATGTATCATTTTCTCTATAGCTGCTGATTGACCATATTGTCCATTTAGGTTTTATTATGAATAATTTTACGATTATAATCTTATTTGATTGGGAACATATGATCCAATTTAATAAGGATTGCATTAAATTAGGAGTTTGCATTTAGAAATTTGTGCAGTATTATTTGGATTCTTTGAAGGTTATTTTTCCTATAAATATTGATTTCTTCTGTTTAAATCCTAATTGGTTTGACTGAATGAATCATGTACTGTATTGATATTGTGATATTTGTGCTCTTGCTTTCTGTTTCTTTGTTAATTTCCTGGGTACTGGGATATCTTACTATAGAGCATTGGGAGGATCTTGATTCTTGTGTGCTCATATTTCATGTTCTCCATTACATTTCTTTATTCTTTTCCCCTGACCCTCATGTACCTCTGCTGCCCAATATTTGCATGATCATTCACCACGAAGGTTTTTTTTTTTCATTTTAGAATTAATTCCTTCCCTACCTTTTCATTCTTTGACCAACCAGTTGTTCAAGCTTAAAAAATCAGTATTCTGATGACTCATTTTAGCTATAGATGCTGTTACACAAATCACAGTTACTTCACTCAAGGATAACTTGATTGATGAAATCTTTTACCCCTTTCTATCTTTCTTTCGTTCTTACAATCAACATTTGATTGTAACTTTGCAATATTCATAACTCAAGTATGTTGCAATTTGAGTACGCATTTGCTGTCTTATGTCCGTGAGTCTCAAGAGTTGCACTCTTTTCAATATAAGCCCATGCTTTATGTGTGGTTTCTTCTTTTCTAGCACATTATCCTGATGTTTTCAACTCTTGGTTTATAATTAAATTGAATGTTTACTGAATTATGATTTCTGCTTCTGTTTGCTTTATGTTCTGTACCTAGTCTTGGTCATAACACCATGCCCACTTTTATTTTGTACTACTTCCTTTTAGTAAATTTACTGCAAACTCAACAGCAGGATAATGGAAATGAACAGCAAGTTATTATCATTTATGATTTGTTTTTTTTTTGGTAAGAAAACTCTAGGGTCACTACTAATGCTTCGTCTTATTCATATTTATGAATGGGGTTTTCCAGCCTTGGAGAGAAAAGGTCTGCTCAACTTTTGTAACTAGACGGCTACTTGGTTTGTATTTTGTCACGAATCAGCTCAAAATTAGGCTCGGAGGCATAGTAAGGGGTCAGTGTCCGGGAGTTGGGTTGACTTTGTGCGTCCAAGTAGATTGATCAACTCTTTTACTGATCTTTTTGCTTTGAAAATGTCATTACTTGATCTTCACCAGACTGTCAATTTTTCTCTGCATATTTTTTAAAATAATTTGGCATGAACTGAATCGAAGAAAGATAATATGACTCATGGCTTTTCCTGCCTAGACAATAGTTTCCAAATTTTAATTGAGAGTACTTGTCTGGATATTAAATGTCCCACGATTTTTGTAGCTTCATATATTTAAGATCAAACAAGAATTGACAATTGTAAACTTGGTGCGAGGTTTGGATATGAGCTAAATTGTTGTATTTTATTATTTTGTTCTTCTCTTTCCATTTGATGATACTGTTTGTGTATCCATTTGGATTTCATATGGATGTACTAATTTCTCTTAATTCAACAACACCAGGCTTCGCCAGTCACAATCGGTGATCGTCTAGCTGTTGTCGAGGAGAAGAGAACTACCACTCGAGGTGAGCTGGCATTAAACGCTTAATTTATTATCTCATTGGTTAGAGTATGAGTAGGGCTACATTTAAGCTGTATGGACTTTATAAGTAGAGAAGAATTCATGAATTCCTGACCAGTTGATACAACAATAGGTGAGCTGATTGTGTTAATAAATTGGTTTATTCAGTTAGCGGGAGTGGCAGAGGGAGGTTCTCTACGGGAAGAGGAGGCGGATTCCGCAATGATAGTTTCAGGGCAAGAGGGAACTACGGTGGTGGCAGGGGCTACGGTAGAAACGAGTTCAGAAACCAGAGTGAGTTCTCAGGACGACCTCGGGGTGGTTCGACTGGACGCAATGGGGAAGGTTATCAACGGGCGAACCAGAACGGAGGTGGAAGGGGAGGAGGTCGTCAGGGTATGGCAAATCGCGCTGCGGTTTCTGGTTGAACAGTTAAGCAAGAGATACGTTGACAATTTTTTTGACAGTAAAATTGAGGATGAGCTCTACTTTTCTCTTCTTTTCTTCTTCTTCTTTTTTTTTTTTTGGAATTTTTCCATCTTTGAATGTGGGCGGTTTGGGGTTTGGGAAATGTTAGGATATTAATGCGGTAGAAGAAACTGAAGGTCCTCCCTAAATTAGTCATTTACATTATGTGAGAAGATAGTTTTGATTTTTTTTTTTTTACCCCTTAACGCTTCATAAAGCTGTATGCCGTTAAAGCTGTTTTGATGCAAGATCTTTTTGCTATTATTATTACATTATTATTTTGGGGTAATCTCTCTCACACATTCTCATTCTCATGAACTTATGATTGTTTGGAATAAAAGTCAATAGAAGATTGTCAAAAACTCGGAAAACAAAGTCGTTGAAAAAAGAGACGAAGCAAGAGCAAGGGCATTATCTTCTAAATACAATCAAACTATCTATTCATATCCTGTAAAGATCTTTATAAACTGATTTTATTGCTCGGGATGAGCAATATTGTAAGAAAAATCATATTCTGGAAGAAGCCAAATTCTTGAAAAGTTTGTGTATCTAGTAGACTTTTGTCTTGTTTAGGTATTTGGTGTCCTATCTACCAGTCAGAAAACCCCTGAGAATGACTTGTACCATATTACTAGTCATAGTATGGATATTGTACTTGCCTTTCTCCTGACGTCTGTAGTTTTCTCTTTACCTTTGCAGAGTGGTATCGTTCCCTAAATATTGGGTAAAATTCTGTCGACATTTAATCACAGAATCCCTTGACCACTCCAATACAACAAGTTAAAGTGACCTCTAGGCTTCGTCCACAATGCGTAGGGCCCGACAAAGGGAGGGGAATGGAAAACAAATTCACAATGAATGAGTAATAGGAAACACTAGTAGTTTATTGTTTTAGGTGGCCATGGTACCACTCTACAATTAAGTTCATCTAGTCTAACATGATAGAGAAGTTTTCACCACCCCTCACGCTGGATCATCACAAACTTCTCTAAGTGTGAGCCAATCTTGTGTACAACATTTACAATTTAAACAAATTAATGGAGATTTGATCCTACGGTCTAGGAAGTTACTAACATCTTGCGATTGCTATATACTTCGATAGATTATAAAAAAAAATACTCTTAACGAGATATGATAAAAATTATTGTGAAATAGAAAATTCATTGTTTTTCTTTTCCCAAAAGTTATTGATTAATAGCCATTGGCTTCAATAAAGTTTGGGCAGAAACTTTCCAAACACTGCATCATAACGACTCCATTTGCAAGTCTTGATGCTGAAACTATAGTAATAAGAATGAACGTAATGTGTCGCCATGGAAGAAGGATCTGTTCTCCTTGGTCCATTCAGTTTAATCATCAACTTAAAGCCAAATGCCAGCCTTTAGATTCACCCTACTCGATGCCTACTTTCAAGTAGAGCAAGGGTGAGCAAAAGTTTTCAAAAAATTGAGTCGATCGATTAAAACCGACTCATCGCCGGTCAATTTGGTCAAAAATGTTATTCCCGATCGAAACCGACCAACTTTATTAAACAGAAACTGAAAAATGATGTGATTTTTTTTTTCAAAATTTTACTCTTCTCTGTGAGTAGTTTTTGTATCTCTTCTCTTCTTCATTTCTCCGGAAAACCAATTTGAAGAGATGCAGAAGAAGCTGATAATTTTTTATTCTTCCACTTCTTCATCTACAAACCAACCATTGGTACAGTCGATCGATCAGAGTCTAAAACCGACAAGCTCCAACCAACCTGAGGATGATTATAAGAAATGTTAGAAGTAGACATAATACATGAATTACAGTTTGTCGAAGCCTGTAATTTCTTTGGTAGGTGAAAGGGAAAAGTGAAAATAGTGCTTTTGCGCCCATTGCTCTCAGTTAAGTTAGTTATGTTAGCGAGGAACCGAAGTCCTCTTAGTTATGCAACCAATTGTAACTTCTGTTCAACAATTTGAAACATTCATAATTGAATATCTACACCATTTTTCTTAACAAAATTCTTGCATTTGAAGCATCCAGTTACCATAAGGCATAACATGTGAACTAAAGGCTAACATGCTTCCATTTGGTAATGGCAAATAAACTATTCCCCTGAGTTCACTAAAGAAAAGGAAAACTGCTAATTGCTGCTTTAAATTTACATTTCCTACCAAAGTCCTAAATGATCTGAGATAGATAGTCATGGCTCTGCAATAATTCCCTCTTAGGGAACTTTCATCTTTGCTATCTCTTCTAGCAAGAATCTGGATTCAGCAGCAAAGTCAACTGGAGCAACAGACCTGACAGTGATCCTTTGTCTCTTCTCATTGTTGTATTCATTCTGAGAAACACTAACCCGGAATAAATGGGGAACCCAAGTGGCTTCTTTGAGTTTCAATTGATATGAATTCTCCTCTCCCATCTGCAATTACAAACATAAAGAAAAGATCAACCCACTTTGTTTCTATTCCTAAATGTCAAGCTCTTGGATAATCTGATTCCTTACCTGTGATTTGAGCTGGTCAAGCTCATCAGCAGAGCATCCAATAAGCCTCTCTGCTTCTTCGTTGAATGTAGAGAGCCAAGCTTCGCCGCTTGCATCAGAAACTCTCACAACCATTATGTACCTTAAACTGCATTCTTCATCATTTTTCTGGCAATTTTCACACCAATATCCAGATCCAATTGCTTCAGTCACCTTCTTGTTGCATGTTTTACATGCACGATACCACATTGTTTGATCAGGCTTAATAAAGCTAACATATGCTCTAATGCTGAAGAACATTGGCTGCGGAAAAAAAATAACTTCATGTCATTATCACTGAAAAGTAAATTCTTTTAGCATCGAAATCATAAATTTAACTGAACAAAAATTAAAATAACTTATTCTTATTCAAAGGTTTCATAATTGTGTTCCCCATAGAAAGTTTCAGTTCCTGTAGTACAAAGAATATAATACCTTTTCTTCACCCAATGATTTGCCTTGGAGTATATGAGACAGGGAAACACGGTCGGAATACATGGACCTCGACCCAGTCTTGGATGATGGGCTCAGGCCAGAGCTGACAGAAGCCATGGACATGGCTTTTCCTTCAGAATCATACCTGTATGTAGATAATGAAGTACGTTACTATTTACAACTATAGTTGTAGGTAATAATATGACACCGGCTCAACAAATTCTTTGTAACCTTACCAGGATCTCAAATGTTTAGCTTCCGGAATGTCTGGATTAATCAAAACTCTGCTCCTACTTATTGTCGACAGAGATACACCTGCAATTGGAAGCAAATAACATGTTACGGATAGAAGTCGCCACCTCTCCCCACCAAGCATAAGTTCACTTCAATTTCAGCAGTACCTTGAAAATCTCCAACTCTGAGATATTTCAATGCAATTACGGGAGATTGATCAGCAATGTCAAGCAGTTCCTGCCCCACATTGGTCGCAAGATCATTCCACAGAGATATCACGACTGTCTTCTTCCTGCAATTTGATAATCACAACTTTAACATGGATGGAATAAATTCGGCACTCTCTTCATCAATCAAAACCATGTACTCACGTCTCATCGGCAATAGTTATATCACGTTTTGGAGCTATGTCATTGTTGCTTTTCCTTCGAATGCTCATCGTAGGGGAAACACTTTGAACAACTCCAATAACATCTGCCAAAGTGCAAAATTACACAAGTGAACATCATGAGCACGAAATCAGACAACTAACATTTGCTAGGACAGAGTTCTAACCAACAAGATCCTTCCCGTTCACGTGAGTACCTAACATGTCAATCTTGACAAAATTGAATTTCATTTTAGGAATGAGAGCAGCTTCATTGCTGACCTCATCCACTTCAGAATTCTCATTTAAAGTCATTTCGTAATCATTTTGAACTGTATTATACTGCTTATTGGCAACTTTCAAAGTTCCCTTAGAGATGTAATAAACTTTGCCAAGGGCAAATTTTTCATAGAACTTCCTTGCAGCTTCATTAAACATCGTAGCCTGTATTTGTGTACCCTGAACCAGAAAAATCAAGTAACATCACTTGCATATCAACATAAAACTTAAAAGGGAAATTCTTTCCGTGGACAATGATAACAATTTAAACCATTAGCACTTTACTTACATCATCATCTGTCAACTCCACATTGAAAACGCAACCTTCTCCTCGAGCATTCTTGTATGTACGCATCTTTTCTTTGTTTGTAACACGGGCTTTGATGGTCCAATTTGCGTGATAAGGATTTAAAGAAACAAGGGGATGAACTCTCCTTGTCATGGACATCCGTGCAGCTGGTGCCATACTGTTCATGGAAAATAAAACATTCAAAAACATATCAGTATACGCACCCTCAAATTCTACAACTTGATAACAGAGTCCAATGAATTTGAATCTTTTAACGATCGCATACTTACTTTGTACGCTGCTCGTGTACAATTTGAGCTGCTGATTTGGTAACCAATTCTTGCTTTGGCTTTAAAAGGATACCAGCCCCGGTATTCGGTGCACTCTTGTTATCATCAAACTCTTGTTTTGGTTTCAAAACAATGCCCACATCCTCTTTCTTAACCTCAGTTTTAACTTCCATTCCTAGAGCAGGAGAAACCACCTCACAATCCGTCACGATTAGATACCTGGTAATAGGTAAAGCACCATGAATGATAAACCAAAACAAAGCAAATAACAATTACAAATTAAATGAAATAAAGTTTTTCTTTTCCTAAATTTGACCATTGATGCTCACTTTTCTTCCTTGTTTGGGATATCATTGAGAGTGTATCCAAGAATACGGATAAGACCCAGATGTTGAATGTTTCCAGAGATAACCTCAGACGTAAATTTGGATGGGAGAATACCTCTTAGCTTCGCACTCCCATCGCTAGCAGTAAACCTGAAAGTAAACCAATATCAATTAAAGAAACAGTCCACATCACCATCAAATCCACGATCACAAATATCAACAGAAAACACGCTGATTAAGCACCAAATTACAAGAGTTCAACGACAGATCACGTTGCAGTCCAGCCAGTACATGCTCTAGACCGGGAATCCGAACCCATAAACAAACTATATAACAAATATGACATGAACAACGAGATCCAAACTAGGGTTTTAACTCTTAAGCATGTCAACAAGGACTTCACCGAACATATAAGATTCACATGAACTTCAAACATGAACTAAAACAAATGGGATCTCCTACAATGCAAACGAGCGCAAATGACAACAGAACACTAATCTGAGTTCATATGAGGGAAAACTAACATGTACCGATTCCCCTTGGGATCGAGATCGACGACCTGAACCACGATCTCCGGAACATCCGAGGGCGAGTCCGAGGACGGATTTGCCAATATCTTCGAAATCGCACCGGAGGTTACTGTTGCTGTGTTCGCCATTGATGAAGCTAATCGCAAGACGGTGAAGGAAAAAAAAAACTAAGTCTAAACTCTGAGAGATTTCCGGCGAGAGGAAGGAGAAGAGAAGATGGAGAATGAGGCGAAGAAGAGAGGATTTGGAGGGCTTTGTATTTGATGATTCAAGCGGGAAATTTTTCTTTTGATCTTTGAAACACAGAAAATGTTTCGTTGTTTTCGCGGCAAAAAAATATTTTGGATTTTTTCTTTCCTAATTTTTCCTGAACTTTGTAAATGTTTGGCGCCGCGCAGATAGTTTTGGCGGTCAAATATTTCTCGATTACGATTTTGCCCTTCTCTTTTTCTGAAATTACGCACTGACCCAACCTTTTGGGCTTTCGATCTATCACATATTTTTATGTTTAAAAAAATATCAAACTCGTAGACTTTTAATTTGAGTCTTAAATTTAGATAATTGTTTCAATGTTTACAATTTATTTAATTTTCACCAATTATGATATAAAATACTTTAAAAACTCAATAATTTAATTAAAACCAAGTTTATATATACAATTGATTATTAAATAACTTCGTTAACTTATACATGTTAAACAAAAAAATTATTAAATCTATTGTCTTTTTTTTGTTTGAATCCTATCAGTAGCGTATCAAACATATATATTATAATTCATTTGACATGTGATGTATGACTATGATGATACTTTTTGTAATAAATTTTTAAACGAAAATTAATCAGGTAATAAAAATTATTATACTTTTGAAATTTTAAGATGTAATTGGATGAAATTGAAAGTTTAATTACACCGGTTAAAGTTGATATTGTTTCTTAAGAAAATAATGAAATTGATAGTATATGGAATTAATAAATTACCGTTGAAATACTGTGCTCTCATGGTATTGGTGAGTTGGATATTAGTTAATTTTATATTTTTTTAATTAAGTGGTATTTTTTCCATTTTTCTCTTCTTTTCCCCAGTTTCTCTCTCCCATCTTCCCTCTTATTTCCCTCTCATCTTTCTCTCACTTCCCTACTTCTCTGGTCTGCGTTTTCTCTCCCCTCTTATTTATTTCCCTCTCAAGAAAAATTATTCAAATTTCAGATAACTTATCACCAAAAGTAAATCCTCAAAATACTCGATTGTTCAATTTTAGTTAGTTAAAATTAGTTCATCAATCATCTAACAAGAAATTTGTGTACATTTGAAAGCTCGATCGGAGCTGCCGATTATTAATATGGATATCTTGTTAATTAGCACCAATTAATAATCTCCTCTGGAATAGCCCGACATGATTGTGCACCCCGAATTCGTCCTGATTTTTCAATCGCCATGGCTAACTCTAAAGATTTCGAATTCGAACATTTCAGCCGACGAACGTGCCATTTTCTTGGGTCCAGCTTTCCGAAATTGCAATCGAATCCGAACCCTAGCACAAGCTTGCTCGAGAAACTGCCGATCGGAGAGTTGTAAGTATTCCGGCAACTATGGCACGAGGATCTCTTATTCGGACGTCGGATCTTTGGGGTGCTGGTAATGCCATAGTTTGAGCTTTGAAGGAGAGGGATCCCTTTGTGTAAGCCTACGAGAAATGCACCGACGGCCCATCCATGAGCCGTCGCCGGATTAGCACGCTTCTGCTACAAATTGCGTTGAACGTCGTCATAGTATCAGAATGACAAAGGAGAAGGAGGGAAGAGAGAGCAAGGGGAGAGGAAATAAAAGAGGAAAATGGGGGAAAACCATATAATTAAAAATTAAAAATAATATTAAATTCATCATTCATATTTCATTCAATTTAAATACCGAAACAGTTGGTGTATTTTACCCGTAAAGATATTTAAAATCTGTTTTTTATATTATTTTTTTTAACTATATATACATCCAATTCAACAAATCAAAATTTTTTATTCTCCTGTCTACTTTCCCGCCTCCCTTTTTATTTTTACCCATTATACACCAATGAGCATTTATGTAGTGTTATACTAATTTCAAAAAATATTTACAGTCTTACCGACTACTACTAGAAGTTTGATAATTCTTTACTGTTCTTAAACAAAAAATACATCCCTTTTATACATTTATCTCTCGTACACAAGATGAGTGCTAGCTGCCAAAGTAATTGACACATATATCTTAAACCAAGAGGTTGTGAGTTCGATCTCACTTCCCCATATGTTGTGCTAGGAAAAAAAAAGATGGATGCCAACTAGTATTGAAGTATACAACATAATATTCTTATTAGTATTTCTTTAAACTATTTGATGGTGAAATTTTGCTCTCTTATCAAAGTAATTGCAAATTACATTTGCTCATTATACTTTTCTGCAGGTTTATGATAAATAACAATGACCAAGAGTTTCACATTTTTTAAAGCAAATCTGTCACTAATAATTGTAATAGTAAGACTACAACATTCGTCATCCCACCAATATATAAGTTAGACATTATCATATTACTAATCTCCAAACATTCAAATTATCTCCCAAGCCTAACACGAGTAATACCACCAATATATAATATATAACTTAATAGACAAGACATCTTGCGCATTCAAATTCGCATACAAGCAAATCTATCTAACAACAACAATAACAATATTGGCTCACCTCATTTCAGACTACGCACCAATCTGATCAAACTGGAAGCCATCTACATTGGTTCAACAGCCACACAAATGCACAAGCAGCAGATTAAACAACAAAGAACTCAACTGGGTATTAATTATATCAAGTCAATCAAAACGATATAATTGGTATGATTCTCATGCTTCACCAGAGAGAAATCCATAGAAAATGAAAAGCATATTTGATTCGAGACAGGATCAGTGTTACCTTCTTTGAACCGTTTCTTCATTTCATCAGCATCAGCACCAATAAAATTGTCAATATCACACAAATGATAGTGTAGAATTCGAGTCCAAAGTTCGTTTAACCAGTTATCCATCCAAGAATCGAGAAAAACTGTGCCTACCAAAACAAAATTTGTGATGTTAACAGAACTAACTGTGCAAACTATCCTGTTGACATATCCTAATTACATAAGAAGAGGGGGCAACGTCATATTTGATGAACCTGTACACTTTCAACTACAGAACGGGCAGCAAGAAAAGCAAGAAAACCATCTCTTTGGAGCATTTGCAGCTGCTTTTGGGGATTCGCTTGTACTTGATTCTTTTGGTGTCTCTGAGCTTGAAGCAGCAGGCTGTGGCGATTCTAGCTTCGTCTCTTGCTTCGCCTTCTCGGGATCTCCTCCCTTGAATGAAATGCTCTTTCCTCCATCTCCTGTCAATCTTAAATTTCGAGAACAAAACATTGATATATTTATTGATCTGCAACTGCTGTGAAATATATTATGTACATGTAGTAAATGTGTTAAAAGTGAATACGAGCATTCCTCTACTATTTCAAAATAAAAATTGTTTAGTTGACAGGAAATTGAGAATGTAGTGGCTTACATTGGAAACTGGAAAGATTTTGTACTGCCTTCTGATTGATGAGAAAGGCTGGCGGACTGAGATGACGACTCTGTAAGAGTCGCACTCTCCTTGCGATGGTTTTCTGAATTTTCCCTTATAACCTCCCTCATTGTTTCTGCAGCTTGTGCTTCATTTGCTGCTAAATCACCATTCGGATGGGTGCCTTTCAATCCACCATCAGAAGGTTTAATAGTCAAGGGCTGGTCGTGACTCGGCAAGTCAATTAATGGAGACATGGCCGTTTCACCAGGCCTATATAGCTCACCCGATTTTCCCAGCCAACACAATTGTTCTCTGGTAAAACTCATGTTTCCCATATGAATGCTGAACAATGATTCATTTGAAGCAACGCTCCATTCCATAGCTGATTTAGATTTAGTTCTGGAAAAGACATGAGATGGAATTCTATACGAAGGGGAATTCGGATCATCAACTCTCTCCATCAGTTGAGTTTGAGGATATTGAGTTGCTGCCTCACTGCCTGCGCTCAAGTCTATCCTATTCGTTGGAGCTGCTGGTGATTGCCCATTGCTGGCCATGGAGCTGATGGGAACATCATCATCACTGAAATCCTCGACCAACCTGTTGTCCTTGTCCATGCTTGGAGAGCTGGGATTGTTTGACACTCCACCCTGTTGAAGTTTAATTTTACGTTTAGCTTCAGACTCAGATGATGAGGACGACGACGAGGAAGAAGTTTGCAGACTTTTACTTAAATCTGCCTCCATAACCTTTGAATCCTTGTTCTTTTCAGGCTTTGGGAGCTCAATCACATGATCGCACAGAGAAGATTCAGATGCGGATGATGATGATGATGACCGTGATAATGAGCGGCTTGATGTCTTGGCTGCACTGGGAAGATTAGCTGCAGAACGAGTCTCTATATCATCACTACTAATAAACTCAAATTCAGACTCCGAGTGTCCTGCAACATTCAACTCTTTTGTTTTCAAAGGGTCACTTGTTCCACCAGGGAACTCACTGGAATCATTTAAAATCAGTTCAAAGGAGCTGTCAGAGGAGGAATCAGATGCAGAGGATAAGGAGGAGACTAACTTTTTGCTTGAAATAGGGAGACCAACTTCGCCCGTACTGCTGATGGGATGTGTCTTTGATTCACCGGCCTCTATCTTTTGCCCAGATTCCATAGATTGAAGATATCTGAATTATGTCGTCAGGCACCACTCTCCAGTTTCCCGGTCAGATGTAGTCTAAAGATTACTGCCTATAACATGCAAGAAAATTAAGCATTGTGTTTAATTAAACTCGATTACAACTGGTTCTAAGTTCTAATGCGTCGAAAAAACATATTCGACAGAAATAAGAAATGGATAACTGGCTAGCTCCCTTTCGTCATTGATCGATCGCATTGTGTTTAACAAAAATGGAAGGTGGGGAGTCAAACAATTTTCTTCCGGAATTCGAGTTTCACCTCCAACCTTCGATCTATGGCCAACATCGGTAAACGCCTAGCTAGAACCCTAAATTGTGAGATCAAATTTCCTGAAACTTCAAGACTCGGTACTATTGCATTAATTGAACCGTACCCTATATCGTGATCTATCTATTGCCACGAAATGAATGATTCCTTGAAACTCCACAATCCGTAGATTGCATTACAAAATAAAATCCGCGTTTCGATCACAATCAATAACGACCGATTCAATAATCCCTAACCTCGCATCCCCAAATATTTAAGAACAGACGAATTTCGCAAACTACCCACCTGACCAAGAACCACAAATATTCAATCAACAAGAACAGAAACGAAAATCTTACGTCGAAGATGTCCCAAGTGGTGGAAGACGAAAAGCTCATAGAGACGGCCGGCCGGAGAGAAGAGGTGGAGAGGCCTCCGACGGGCCCTGATTGGCAATGGCGCAGAGGAATTTGGGAGAAGAAAAGAAAACCCAAATGCAGAGGAACCCAATTGAAGCGAAGAAGAGAGAGAGGAGAAACGGAGAACGGATGGAGGAAGGGAGAGATTTGTGGGAGATGAGAGAGAGAGAGTGAAGTTTGAGAGTGGAGAGAAGGTTATGAGGCGTCGCATTGATTCAGCCTTTTCTTTCTCCGAATAACCAACTTTGCCTCGCTTTGGCGCCATCTCCCAACTTACCTTTTTTCACCATTTTTGGGGTTTCTTTCTCTCTCACAGATGAATTTCAGGTGTCTTTTCTTTTCTTTCTTTTTTCTTTTTTTATTTTTTTTTTCTTTCCCATCCTCCAATTACTATTTTAATTTCTTTAATTTGGTGTCGTGATTTGAGCTCTGAGTAATAAAAATTTTGTAAATGTTTTTTTTAGTAGAATATGTGGAATTAATAATCGAATTCATAGCTTCTTGGTTTAAGAGATATGTCAGTTATTACTTAGCTATACTCGCTTTTGCTAACAAAAACAAATCGTAAATGTTGTATTGTGTTTAAATTGTATTTTTAGTTATTATTCTTTTATATTGATTTTAGTTTTGTATTTTGAGATAAATCTTGCTTGTTCCTGAAAATATCTTATCCCCTATAGGTCGTAGAGAGTTCATAATTCGAATTTGTTTCAATTCTCGGAATATAAATGATATCCATAGAAATACAGCATTTTACAATGCAAATAAGGTGAAAACTCGTCATCAAGTTTTAGATAAAAGAAGCAAACATCTCGATAGATATAAAAATAAACTAAATAAATTCAAGTTCTTTCTTTGGCCGGAGCGTATGAGTTGTTTGTGAATATGATGTGCTGAGTGGTGCAAGACAACCCCTCTGTGTGGCAAAATAAGAGAGACTGGGAGGAAGACAGGGAGATTGTACCTTGAACTTTGGTGTGACCTTAGTAATGATTGAGGTCGTTTCGATGTATTATGAATTTAAACTTTTCTCAATTGTTATCCAACTACATTTTGATTATCGTGGTGATGTTTGGTAATTTACTGGTTATTTTTTTTTTTTTGAATATTATGCGTTCACCTATAAACGTCATTTACACATCTCTTGAAATACTCAATTTTAACACGATAATGACAAAACCAATTCAATTAAAAAATTAACTTTATAATAACTAACCGAACAAAACCTACACTAGTCTAATGGTCCCACGTTTTAATTACGTTCCGTCAAAGAAAATTAATATGCTATTAAGATATACGCGTGTAATGGGAAACTCGTCTTGAGAATGCCTCCAATTGTACTGATTTCAACGTTGAAACTTGTTTGCTCTATTTTACAAATTATGTCTTCACCTATAATGAATGACACTAAATTCAAATGGCATGAAATTTACTTCAAATATTAAATAGGGATTTATCTTATAATTATTATATATATTTGTTTATGTTTCGATAAACAAATGCGGAATTAAGGGTATCCATTTATCGACAAGTTCACCCCAAATTAGATGAGGAATCTTCGTTTAGACCTACCACGGATGAGGATGAAGGAAAATTTTATCCATCACTTAAATGGGGACGAAGACGGGGAATACGATCCTCGCTCCTGTCCTCATTCCCCGCCTCGTCCTTGTTATATATTGTAAATTCATTGTGATATGTTTAATTTTATATACATAATTAGAGTAAAATGAAACATTATATTTTCTTATTTCATGTTTTAATAAATGTTCCTTTAAATAAGGAGAAATAAGAGTTTTGATTCTAATTTTATTAAAAAAAGTAATGTAGTAATGAGATTAATCAAAACCACAAAAATAATAAATGAGGGATGATTTTGTAATTATCATTTTTTTATTTCAAAGTTTCACATTTATCGTACTAAAAAGTCCAACACAAAGTGAAAAAAAAACTGTAAGACGTATCAAATCATAAGGTTAATTTTGATAAAAATCGAAAAAAAAAATCAGACTCAATTAGGGTACATTTTGAATAATTTTTTTTTCCGTGTCCAAGCAAAGTGCACCGTCATCAATCCATCCGACGGCCCAGATTACTCCCGCTTCGCTCCATATATTCTCATTTAATATCTCGTATTCGTAAAACCCCAAACTGATCAGAAAACCTTCCTAGGGTTCTAGTATCGCTGCGAAAGGGAAGAAGAAGAAGAAGGTTCGTTGTCAATTCACTCCATCGTCTCTGTTTTTTTTCCGTTATCACGTTCTTTTTGATCCCTGTATGTGTTTTCATCGATGGAATTACTTTCGAATTCGTTGAAAATGTTCGTATCGCGGTCGCGTGAGTATATATTGGGGCTGTCGTATCTTTAATCGGTGGTTTCTTACTCTTCTCCGAGTTATTTTTGTTTTCCGGGGTTTTGGACTTGGGGAACTGGAGGAAATGATTGCAGAAAATGGAGATTCTGATCTCTCTACCCTTTACGAATACGAACTTTCATCACGAATGGTTTGACGCCTGCGTCTTGTTTTGGTTTATTGGGTTTCGTTTGTTGTGGTGAACGATCTAGTATCGGTGGTAAGGATCATCATTTTGTGTTTGAAATGTTCATGTAGACCACCAAAACAGAGATTATGCACACTGCGCTTAAACGGAAAGTAATGCACGTTTTTACGTATACAAGTACCTCATTTCATCTCCTTGTTGGTATTATTTTTTGTTATTTTTACCTTTTCCTCTTAAGTCGTTTTTTGGGATGTTCTGGCGATGTGTCTGTGAAGACTTGTGTTGCTACGGTGTTCTGTTTACTCTGATTCGTGGAAAACCCAAGTGGACTGTAATTTGAGGCTAACACAACAGGTTTCTTTGTTTCCCCTGTTACTGTGCGAAATATGTTATACTGAATCTCTGCCGTTCATTTTGTTCAGGTTGCTTCAAGATGGCTTTCCTAAGTAAGGTTGGAAATATTCTAAGGCAGGGTGCAAACAAGAGGGTTGGATCGGATTTTCAGGCTTCTAGTTTGTCTATCTGCCAAGCCGTACGATGGATGTCTTCCATGCAAAGTTCTAAACTTTTCATCGGAGGTTCTCTAAGGATACTTGATTTTTTCTTCGTGGAACATGAAGTCGCCAATTAATTTTTCTTTATTTTGTGCCTGTATGCATGTTTATGATGCAGGTATTTCGTATGGCACTGATGATCAAAGTCTGAGGGAAGCCTTTACTAAATATGGGGAAGTAATTGAAGGTATATCATCAACTCTTTTACATTGAGTGGTTGAACGTGATGGGAGGAGAGCCTTTATTTCTTATTTTCTCTTATCTCAATTAAAAAGAACGATTTAAATATTTTTTTACAAGCCTTCAGTTGCGTGTTTTTAACATTCCACATCAGAGTGATACACCGATACTGGGATCACATTTTACGCAACAAAAATAAAATAAAAAATGAACAAACTTTTGGGACCAGTATGATCGAATCTTCTTGGGAATTGTTTTTTTCTGAGTTATGGCCGAGCTGGTCGTTTCATTGTTTACCTTTTTTTCCCTCCCCCATTATAGCTAGGGTCATCGTGGACCGCGAAACTGGAAGATCCAGAGGATTTGGATTTGTGACTTACACCTCTAGTGAGGAGGCCTCTAGTGCCATTCAGGCGTTGGATGGACAGGTAATGATTAATTTGTCGGCCCAATGTAATTAAAGGATGATGCGTTGTGTTATGTTCATATCCCGTAATGTACTGTTGTTGAATTAGTGTATCACTGCAGTTAAAATGTCTGCTTTCTTTTCCTTTGGACAAGGTGCCACTGTGTTACTTTCATGTAGGATACTGTATCTAGTGTGTGTATTTATGTTTACGGATCTTATGCTAGTGTTTTCATTTTATATTGTCGTATTCCCCATCTTCACTTGCACTAGCAAATATGGCAGTGACTGCCTCGTAGCAATATTTCTATAACCATTGCAACTTCCATACCATTGAGGGCTTGAAAATGCGGACATATAAAAGCTAATAGCATTCCTTCCTCTATTGTGTACTGAAGTAGATATTTTGTCGGAAGTTGTCTTGCTGATAAGTTTTACTTTTCTACATATATCTTTTATTTAGAAAGAACGGAAGACGAGTGATTATTGTGAGTGGTATATATTGGAGACTTGTCCCAACTTCTTTTATAATGCTGGCAGCTATTCGTCGTTCATGTTATAGCAGCCGTTCCTCTGTTTTATTCTCTCAACATTAGCTAGTATATTATGGTACAAAGTTGCCATCAAGAATTTTTTCTTTTAAAAAATGTTAAGAACGGAATGAGTGATTAACATAAGCGGAATTTGGAGGCTTGTTCCACCTTTTTGAATCTACGAGATGCATTTTTTTTCTAAAGTTGATTTATTTTGGTTCTCAATATTTGCCAAACCAAAGATGTTCAACGACTTAGGTTATTACTGCTCGTTTTATTTTTTAAACAGGATCTTCATGGCCGTCGTGTAAGGGTGAATTATGCTAATGATAGAAGTCGAGGTATTGGAGGTGGCGGCTATGGCGGTGGCGGTTATGGGGGTGGTTCTGGTGGCTACGGTGGTGGTGGCTATGGAGGTGGTTCTGGTGGATATGGAGGTGGTGGCTATGGTGGTGGCGGCGGTTCTGGTGGTTATGGTGTTGGTGGTGCTGGTGGAGGCTACGGTGGGAGTGGAGGAGGCTATGGCGACGGTAGTGGTGGATATGGTTATAATGCCACCGGCAATTTGGCCAGTGACAGCCAGGGAAGTGTTGGCGTAGGGGGTGGCTTTGGTGGGAATGATGCTGGCTATAATAATGCCGCTAGCAATTCTGATGGGGGAAACACATACGCAAGTGGGGCTACCGCTGGTTTTGGTACCGGCAGTGGAAATTACAACGTTGCTGGTGGCGATGGCGGTGGCAACGACTACTTTGCCAGCAGTGGATACTCTGGTGGGGATCAATTTAGCAGCAACGAAACAAACACCGCAAATGCTGCATCAGGAGATCAAGACCCAGGCGAACAACTTGATGGAAATTACAGGGATGACGATGACGATGCAAATGACTTCGCCAAAAGAGCCTGATAGATCATATTCATAGTAGCTTCATCCTGCATTTTTGGTTATTGCCATGTAGATTTTCCTTCCATGCACCTGAACTGAACATTGTCTACTTTGTTTGTATGTTGGACTTGCCTCAGTGATCTGTGAATTTTCCTATGCACTTTCAATTTAGTTTCTCTTACAAATAAGTTTTGTCGAAGTCTATTAGGTGTGATGTCTTTTCCGTTCTCTATTCCATCTAAGCCCCCCACAAATCCGTTCGAGGGTTTGTTAGACTGAATTACTTACCTTTATTATTATTAGTAAAGATCAAAGTTGACGAGCCGTTCGTCGAACAGCCACAATGGATTTGTTTTGCTTTCATACTAAATTTTTGTACGGAAAAATTTGTCTTTGGCCTCTTCTGTGGCTTGAAAATGGATGTAACATATAATGGTGGTTTTTGCAAGCAAGAATTGGGGAGAAGCTTCAATTTTAACGAAAACGATGCAGAGAAAGCTCATCAGGTGAGAAATAATAATTGGTGGTATGTTTTACACTATTGATTGAGCTCTACTGTGCTACTCCAATTTTTTGTGTATCTGCAAAACTAACATGTTCATTTGTCATCAATCATTGAATCAGCCATCGTCTTTATCCATCGAAAATAACCATCTTTGTGCATTCAGAACCACAGGAGAACCCATTCTGGTTTTCTCCACAATTTGCTTTATCAAATGCTTCTCCATCTCATCATCATAGTCACTGCTTTCATCCCCACTGCCATCTACATCATTTGATTGCTGATCCAACATGAAACATTTTTCCATTCTGCCAACCTTGTTTTGAAGATCTTCCCGATCTGTCTTCTCCATTACGAGTGTCTGACTGAGGTTCGTTGATTCATTTGTCCTCCCATTCAGGACTCCAAATTGACGACAGTTAGTTGCGGTGTGGCTTTGTACGGGCTTACTTTCGTCAACTACTGATGGTGACAAAACAAGCTCTTCTTCAGAGTCGTCCATATTGGTCAACTCATTATAAGCTTCATTGTAGGCATCCAGGGCTTCTCCTGATAAGTTCATAACAAGGGGTTGAGCACTTGGACTTTCTTCACTAGACGAATATAGCAATTCACTTTGTGCAAATTCTTTCCAAGAATTCATCTGCTTGGCTTTGATGCACTGAAGTTTCCTCTCGCTGTTCTCAAGGGCTATTTCGAGCTCCCTCACACGTGCTTCAAGTCTTGACTGGATAACTTCATGTAATCGCACGCTAAGCTCCCAGGGTGAAACTGTGTAGTTACCCGAGCAAGTAATCTCGCTTGCATCTTGATTTTGCTGAAGCTGAATGGCACTTCGCTCACTAAACAAGTCAGCTCTCAACTCACCTTCAGAGAAATGTCCTGTAAATTGTGGATCAAGCTGCACAAAGAAATTGCTCCATATCAATTATCATTGTTATAATTCTGTGTAAAGTGAACAGTTCCTTTCCATCGTTGGCAGCTCTAAACATATCAGGCTGATTGATCTTTAGGTTTATATCACGTACTGTCTTTCGGCATGACCTACAAACTAAATCATGCCGTGGCAAGTTCAATGTATAACTGACATTCGATGTACATACTTCCTGACTTGTGTATTAAGGACCAAACCATAAAGAATAACAAAACCAAAAGAAATTGTTTGGCTAAAGAAAAAATCCCCAGAAGGCAGAACCAAACACATTAAGATGCAAGATTTTCTTTCCGTGGCCCCAAGCCAAGTAAACCCAGATACAGTTATCAAGGACTTCAACGACAACAGTTAAAATACCTTGTCTTCAAGACCGCGACAAGGTTAATAAGAAAAATAGACGTTGGACTATACAACACAATTACACATTTTGAGGTTTACCCTTTTCTATATTTCATACTATCAATGAAATATATGTTTCCTCATAAGGAAAAAAAAACATTTTGAGGTTGAGAGAAAGAACCTATATTCAAAAGAACAAGATTAACAACTATGCACTTCATAGGGAGTATCAACTAGAAGAGGTCTGGTCTGAATAGAATGCTTAAATTTGGGAAAAGAAAATTAACATTGCAGAGAAATAATAAAATCATATGTATGTGTAAATACAGAAAGAAGTAATGTTCAGTAAGAACTGCCATCAAGTTTTTATTCATGCATATGCTCAATGCTGTAATAAACAGACAGAGTTACCTCATGAAGATTGGAAAATCTTCTATCTGTACTTGATGCATCTATATTTAGTCCCAACCTCTGAAGTTCTGCTTCAAGCTCAGCTTCAATTTTACTCCGAGATTCCGAACCCTCTTCAGCGTTCTGTTCAAATAATTCCCTATCGTCAAATTTAGCTGAAGGATCAAGATTCTGTTCTTTCTCATCGTAGAAATAATTCTCAGATATTCCTTGTGATCCACAATTCTCATTTGAAAGCTCCTTCACTGTCAGAGAATCCTTCATCTCAAGTTCCTCTTGTAGATCTTGGACCAAGTTCTCAGTATGCTTTAGTAACTCTTTGAGCTTGTGTATTTCACACTTATTAGTCATGAAAGATGATACTAAGCCAATGGAAATCCCAAGACAGAATAGAATCATCCGATCTGGTGACAATAAATAAAAAGTGAATTTAAACAATTAAGAACAATGATGACGAATACCTCCATTGATGACTATCGACTAGAACTGAATACATAATGCATTGGGAATAAGTATATGCTAAATCAGACTAAAAAAGAAATCCCCATCTTGCATATGGAAAACAGAAATCTCCATCTAGACCATTTAGACCAACCCATTTTTAGCAGAACATATTGTGGTACAACTAAGTGTCAAATTCCTGAAAATTCAGAGGTATGGCCTTCCCTAAAGTAAAATTTTGAATGGTATACTAAAGAAGAGATTTGGCAGATCTAACTGTAACTTGTAAAATTTGACATTCTCAAGAAAATTTAAAAAATAATAATAATAAAGTAACTTGTAAGTTACTCATTTTGAAAACACTTAGATTCTAGTACGCTATTGAGAAGCACCTCAAAATTCTACTTCCCAAACAGAGGTTATTCCAAATAATCAATATAAAATCAGAATAACACCACAAAGAAGGTCATCAGGTGATGGATATAAGGACTTTATTTCTTATAGTTCTAAAAAGTTTATTTCTGAGTTTCTTGGTTTATTCTTTGATATAAGACAAAAATTACTTTCAATTAGGCAAAGAATTTAGCAAAACCCTCGAGTTGTCTCATTAATTACTCACCTTTTGCATGGAAGAACTTCTCATTATGCATTTGACTGGCATTGCTCACTCCACCTTGTCTTCTTCCTGCCTTGATATTTATCTTCTCAGAGGTCTTGAAAGACTGTATTTTCGGAAGCAAAGGTACCCCATACACATTTCTGTTCTTTTCAATACATGGCTCTTTGTGGAAATTACTTGCATCCCTATCAACCTGAAAACTAAAAGAATCTCTAACTGCCCTGCTGACTATCCGGGTTCCGTCGTTTACAATAAACCGCTTCATAGTCGATCTAGATGGTGATTGAAGTGAATGTAGGATATACTCTTCCATCTCAATATGTTCCTTGTAGAGATGAGACATTACACAACCATCTAATGAACTAAGAGGTCTAAAAAATCTCCCATATGAATGTTTATTTCTAATAGAACTGATTTTTCTCACAATAGGCCGAAAACAATTCAGTTCTCTAGAAGATGAACAAGATAGCTGATCAGCCATATCATCCATATTGCCATCTATACTGCTTCTATGGCCAAATGTTTGAAAGTCATTACTCATTGATAATTCCAGTGGCAAATTGGAGACTGAAAGACCATTATAGTCCTGGTAATTCCCCATATCTTCCAGCGTTTCACAATCAAAACCACTAGTAGAAGCCACATTCAGGGCAGAAGAAACATCAAATTGACTCATAACAGAAGATCTCCCGTTCAGAACCTCTGCATCATCAGACAGAATATCTCCACTTGCTTTCTTTCTTTGCGCTGTTCGGTGAAAGGGCTGATCTGGAGATCCTGATTCCTCAAAACTAGAATTCCTAGAAGACATCTGAGATGAGCTATTCCCATCTCTCAATAGTTTCTGCCAATACTTGGCTAAGTATCCAGCACCAGCAGCTGTTGCAACTACCCACAAGTCCATTTCAACGCCCTCCCTTACACAACCAAAGATTCTAGCCAAATTCCACAATACTAATCTTCCCTTTTGTTTTAACTCCCATAATCAGACACAATAAAAATGACAATGTCTATCAATCTAAATCCAAGCATAGAAACCCCACTTCTTTCCAACATTATATTTATTAAATCACCACTAGCAAAACCCACTCCCACATAAAATATACGAAGCTACAACAGCATAACGTTTCTCATTTCTTAACTCAATGCTCAGAACGAAAACCTGGGCGACACCTTTACCTTGAAATTAACCAGGAACTATGCCCACCGGCCTCAGCCCCAAAACGAAACTGACTTCAGTTTCTTGGCTGCAATGATTAACAGTATAAATCGACTCCAAAACCTAGAGGAAACAAACGATCTCACGACGAGCAGACGGAGAGATTGAACAGAATCAAATATGAAGTATGAGGCCGCATTCCCTTCATGAACTCAAGACAATCAATCTCCATCACAGAAACAACCACCTCTCCCAGAAGCCATTAATCAGTAAACGTCGAATTTCAACTCTACACAATCGAAGGCAGTTCTACAGCTCAATTCGATCGAAGAAAAAATCTCAATCCGAAACACGGGTCGTGCAAGTCATCGAAGCAATACCCATTTGAGAACAGCCACTCCGCCGCAGAACCCATCAACGCAAATTGCCCATAATCAACAGAACGTTAACGAAGCAGACAAAATGGCGGAAGAAACTAGAAGAACAGGGTGAAAAATGGGTAGACGGAATTGTAATCCGAAAAGAGATAAAAAATTATTCACTTCCCAGAATGCGTGGGCAGCGAAGCAATATCCAGCGGACGAAGGTTTTGGCTGTGTCGTTATCGTCGCCGCGGCGGTTGTTGAAAGTGCCTCTAAAGAATGAGACCCGCTGCCCCGTTATCTACTATGGACCGGGGCCGGTGTACAAATACAAATCGTTAACTTTTCTTTTTGTGAAAAAAAAAATTCCGATTAATAAGACACTTATTATAATTATTATTATTTATTTTTAAACTAAAAAAAATTTATGTCCTTAACCCTTATCCTATCAAATATTTGAATTTGTCCAGAATCATTCCCCTATGCAACATGCTAAGTTCGTAGATCAAAGATAATAACGTATTAGATAGTCAACTTGAACATAATTCAACTGGTTAAAACACTTTGATCGTGCACTCAAATTCTCATCCTACATATTGTAATTGAATGTTGAGATATAAGAATCAGAAAAACATAACCTTACAAATTTAAAGATTAATTGGATTTTTTTTAAGTATATAAATTAGATAGACGCCGAGACTAAAATTTAATATTCTATTAATGATTAGTTGTCTAATTGCGATGAATTATATGATTATGATGAATTAATAAAAAAAGGCTTCATTTGAGCACCGTATAATTAATACTTAATAATTTGATTTTAAAAATGTACATTTATCTAGAAGTTATATTTAATTTTTTGTGTGAACAACCCAGATATCAATTGCCTACCCATCATAGCACCGTATAATGTTGTTTTTTAAAATTAATATAATATTGGTAAAAAAATATTAATTTCATTAAAATAAATAATTTTCATACCATATAAAGAGAGTCCGTTTATAACATTAAAATGCAGCTTCATATGAATTTCACTATTTCCCTCTAAAACATGTACATCAACATCACATTACGAGTAAAGAATAATAATAATCATATAAAATCTTAATGCCAACATGAATTTAACTCAGTAATAATTGACACATATTTATGATCGATCATGAGTTCGAATCTCTCACCCCATTGTACTGAAAGAAAAAAAATAGAGACGTAATTATATATAAACTATTCATATATGGAAACAACCAATAATATATATATATATATATATATATATATATATATATATATATATAAAAGCATTAAATGTAATCCCATATAATATATTTTTGGTTAAAATACTATTTCAGTCCCGTACTTTCTTTGGTTTATTTTAGTCCTTATACTTTTAAATTGTTATTATTTTAATTATTGTACTTTTAAAAAGTAACTATTTTGGTCTGTATTTGTAAAATTTTAACACAAATTCTACACATAATGAAACCTTTTTAATATAAGTCGTGGTAACATCAAGAGATATATTGAGTGTACAATTAAGTTGTAACTCTGATAAAAAAAATTAGACTAAAAGTAAAATTAAGAAATTAAAATGGTCATTTTCTAAAAGTATAGAGAAAAAAATGAACATTTTGAGACTACGGAGACTCAAATAAACTAAAGTTAAAAATTTATGAACCAAAATAAATATTTTGATAGTACAAATATTAAAATAAATCAAACTTTAAAAATACAGCACATATTTTAACTTAAAATTTTTAAATTTGTTACCACACAAATAGGGATTAAATAAGACTAGAAAAATAGATATATAGATGATAAAATTGATTTTAAGTTTGGAAATTTAGAAGTTTAGTTTTTGGCGGGAAGTGGATTCCAGCTATTATAAAATGAAAAGCCCATCAGCGTACTTGAAAAGGCAAAAAGGGCAATATTAAAGAAGGGCAAAAAGGGAAAAAGGTGTTAATTAAGCAAATAGATGGCTGGTTTAGAAGCAAACCTACCTTTTTGGCTTTTGGCATTTGTTATTTATTATTGGAAAAATTAGAAAAATGACTTTGGAAATAAAAAATCATGTGGCTGTCTACCATTTTATTTGGACAGAAAAAAAAAGACACCTTTTTCTTTTCTGCCAATGCCAACCATTGTGCTGTGACTAATAAAGAAAGCAAATAAAATGATAAAAATTAAAATGATGAACTTTATTGATTTGGAAAGGCATGTCAACGAAAATAAATACTTTCTGCAAAATCATGATTAGGTCCTCTTTTTGTTTTAGTTGAATTTTACATTTTAGGTGGGTTAAACAATACCTGGAGTGAAGATTCGAACTTCTTATATTTTGGTTGAAAATATATGTTTTAACCATTTAAGTTGTATTAAAGTTAGTGGATATAAATCAATTTCTTCGTAGTTTTAAAATTTTAAGATAAAACTGACAACATTGAGTAATACCATTCATTATTAATTTGAGTATAGTTCAACTTGGTAAGACATGTAACTAACCTGAGTATAACTCAACTTATTTATAACTCAATTTGTTAAAGACATATATCATTCCATATATATCTTTCTAGTATAACATGTGATAGTGAAGTTTGAACTCACGATATTTTGATGAGAGATATATGTCATGACAAGTTGAGTTAAACTCAGGTTACTTCCATATGTTGTTAAACTAAAAAAAAAAAAGTTAATACATATATCTTAGATTAAAAAGTTAGAAGTTCAAATCTCACCTCTACTTTTGAACACATAGGAAGTAATGAAATTAATGCAATAAATTACATTGATAAATTGAAACTTGATGAAAGGTATAATGTAGCCATATAACAATACACAAACCTGTGAGCAAATTGGTAAATAACTAAACATGATTTATTAGAGCACATGTAGGACAAACATTAAGAAAGCATGTTGAAACTTGTAAGAAGCTATTTAATGCCATTAATGACCACCAAAATGAAGGCCCAAAGGATCCTGTGAGACAATGACCAGTGAGAGAGACTTTGCAACTCCATCACAGTCATTGCTTATTATTTGGTTAATGAAGTAAAGCAATCTTAGAATCAGATGGATAACTGTTGCATCAATCATTATCAAGACCCACACAGGATTTTGTAACATCAGCAATAAGTGAGTTGTGAAGAAAAAGTTCATAAAATAATAAAGTTAAACATAAGAAAATATAGATAGATAACTGATTCTCAGAGACTGTAAGTTTTAGAAGTGCAAGGATTTATAAATTAAAAAGGGGGGAGGGGGTAAAAACTAGCAGAACCAAGTGGATTCAATTGGTTTGAAGCAACCTTGTTGGTCAATTTGGTTTCCTTAAAGGATAAAACTGCGAAAATAATCGGTCGGTTAGATATGGATAGATTTTGTTCGTTTCGGTCAGTTTGATGGTCCTTTACGTCGGTTTCGGAGGGAGGGAAAAAAATTACGAAGCCGCTTTCACCTAATGAATTGAGAGCATTTTACAACTGTAAAAAGGTAAAATTTGTGTATTCAGAAGAAGATGCATCAGAACTCCAATCCTTGTACATACTTTTCAGTAGAGTTGCACACAATTCCAAACATGATAATAGGGGCCTTTTCCCCCACAAAAAGATTAGAATCTATGTGTATAGAATGCAGGTATCTGCAGGCATAAAGAACAAGCAGCAATACAATATAAGAATCAAGAAAGATATAAGAATAAAGGAGGCTGTAGTTCTGAAAAAATATGTACTATTCAAGGGAGTTGATCATATCTAGAAAGTTGAAAACCAGCCAGTCAGCTTTTGCAGCAACGTTTTCTCGAAGTTGAATGCCACCATAACAAATAAACAAGTCAGCGCCACCTGGTTTACGGGCCTATATCGAAAAGAATATGCAATAGAATTAGAAGAATGATCAAGCTTTAACTTGCAACGGGTTAACAAAACCAGGCTCATCTGTCAGATAATTTTGCTGGACATTCAACTCAATTGACTATAAGTAAGTTCCCTTGTCCAATTAGGCGGATACAAACATCTTAGATCAATTAAAGTCATGAAGTATAAAAAAAATAAGCATCAAGCAAGAATAATGTGGCAAGGAAGTCTTTTGCCTATAAAGGATTTAGCTAGGAAAAGGCAATAACTGTTTAGTTTTTTAAGATAATTCATATTTCATAAGAATTTTGCTGCAATTTACACTTCGAGAGTCGAATGTCTCTTCTCACCTCAAGATCAGTCGCACCATCCCCAGTCATGACCAATGTCTTGTATCCATGAGCCTGCAAAACCAACCCAAATCAAATTTGTATTTAAAAAACAACAGCCAACACATGAGGGGTTCTTTCAAGGTTTCGTCTCATCATTAATAACTTCATAATTTTTATCTTGTAGTATGTTGGAACAATGCTAGTAAGGAGTCCAATTGAAACCAAGAAATATAGGCTTGCCATTCATGATGCTACCTTCCTTAGTTGTTGCACTGCAGTTGCTTTCCCGCCGCTCCTTGAAGTAGGCTCATTTTTGTCGAAGCCCAGAAATTCACCAGAGCTTCCGAAAAGCAATTGATTGGCAAAAATATTCTCATGTGGAATCCCAAGAATTGATGCAACAGGCTTCACAAAAAGTAGTTCGTTGATTAATAATAATGAACATCAATGCCCCATTAATTCTCCTAAAAATTATACTGATTTGTCCTTGCGAAATGAAAGTGAAATAATTAACATGATGGGCTCACTACAATTAGTCATAAACTCACATTGATCATTTGACGAAAGCCTCCAGAAATCAGATATACGTCAATGTTTTTGGCCTTTAGCTTTTTAACCAACTCATCTATACCTGGAGAAAGCCTAAAGAGCAACAATCAGCACTATGAAAAATATGACTAGAAAAGTTTTAATGGTGATAAGATGGAGGAATAATAATAAGAGCCAAACAATATATCCCTGCTCTCTAATCCTAACTTTTATGGGTAAGCTGGAAGATTCAAAGCACAGATGGGCTTACATGTTTTTTTTCTGGATATATATTTTGCAGCTAACTAAAGGTCTTGAAGAATTACCACAAAAAACCACTTCACAATCACATACAATGAAAGTTTTCATGTCTCTTCTTTTATGGACGTTTGATCAACCTGGTTGTTACAGTAATATATTTTCCAGAATAAGATTCCAGACATCCTATTAAAAAACCTACTCCATGGACTAATTTGTCATCCAAATGGAATAAGCGGCTGTTAAAATAAAAATATAAAGACAAACAAACTTGCATTCATTAATATCAAAAACAATATTTGGATGTCAGGGGAACTCAATGAGCCCATGCTAAGAACATTTGTGGTCTAATGGAGTAGCTAAAACTCTGCAAGTTAGAGAGAGAGAGAGAGAGAGTAAAATAAGCATCTTGCATTATGTTTAAAACAAGACGGAAAGGCAGATGAGAAAACCAAACATCACTTCATGAAGCCAAAGAAGAACAGACGGTAATAATGCCTTTAACCAAGAACACACATTGTGCAACTCTTTTAAGTCTTAGAACCAGAAAGCATCTTGGTCCTTAGTTGTTCTATTGTCATGTTCATCATCCCTTTTCTTAGATTTCCATGGCTATTGGAAAAACTTGGTGTACATGGAATGGGACATAAACCCATACCTTGGAGGTCTCTTAGCGAGAAATTCCTCAACTTGTGAAAGTGAAGGGTTAAACAAAGATAGTCTAGCAGCCAAAGCATCCTCAAACGGCACGGAACCACCCATTGCCCTGAGCAAGACTTACAAATCTTAGTTGATGAAAATCCTTGGAGATCAGTTAAATCATGTCAACTAACAAGTATATCAAACCTAGCTGTCCATTCTGCAACAGCCTTTCCAGCTCCACAAAAATCTGCTAATTCATCAATTCCCTCATCTACGCAAACTGTGCTATCAACATCAAAGCATACTGCATTTGCACTTCTCCACAGCTCCAGCACCTCTGATATTTTGAGAGTAAAATTTAAGGTAACAATTATCAACTAATAAACATGAAAGGAATTATATCGAGATTGGTTCAAGGGACTCAGTAACAACAGATTTTGATCATTTCGTAAAATAACTCAGCAGTGGCCACCATTAATTCCTTTGAGAGTTTCCATAGAAACTCATGTACAATGATTTAATAACCATTTTTCCCTTCATAGGTCATATTCAAAACCACCCCCCTCCAAAAAAAAAGGGAGCTAAAAGGAGATTCCCTTCCACCTTATATTGCCTACTGATGACGTCTATATCATGAAGATTGCTACTAAAAAAATATTAATATTTTGATCACATTCCATACCTACATAGTACAGACATTAAGAGAGGACAATATACTCGAGAAATTTGTAGTGACCTTTGGATGGCGATGTGTTGTTGAAATGAGAAAGTGTAGGGCCTTCTAACGGCTGAACTGAAGCGGCAATTGGATTGAATGACATGCGACATCTCCCCATCTCCATTTGACCTTCAACCGATCTTCTAGAGAATTGCAAGAACAACGAGGGACGAAGCGAAGATTGAATTTGTCTACAATGAGTAGGTAATGGTGTGATTCGCGAACTCAACAAACTCTCCATCAATTATCTGCTATGAACAAAATAAGTATCCAAATCAGCAAACTCGGCCGACACATTCACTCCAACACTCAGCCAATTCAGAATTAAACAAACCCAAAGGAAATCCATCACGATGCCTCATGCTCGTCTCTAATCAACAACCAAGCCATTCAAACATGACAAATCGAATAATAAAAAGACCTAGATCAACACGGATTCAGAAAATAAAAAAGGAAACATACAAAAATCCGACCGAAGCCATGAAGAACGAGAAGAAAAAGGGCAGGAAGATATATTTCAAACAAACTTCAAACATTGAACAACCCCCCACGTAAACCTTCCTGAGAAACCAAAAGAACACAAACAATTTCCAGAGAAAAACAAAACCGTGGGTGGGTGAAAAATGAACGAACAACAAAGCAACTGCAAGCCATTGATACGAACATACGCATTAAGCAAAAAAAAAAAAAAAGTGGAATACAGAGAGCAAGAATCAGAAATCGAGTAGCAGAAATGGTATTACGAGTGAGTAGCAGTTGTTTGAGCAGAAATTTTCCCAGCTGTTTGCTCTCTTCTGTGGATCTGTTTCCCTTTTTCGCTCGCTTTTGCGAGAATACTCAAACAGTTGTTTTTCTTTTCTTTTCTGAGAATAATAAAACAGTTGTTGATGTTGGACAAATTACCTTTTTGTTTTTGGGAATAAAATGAAAATTACCTTCAGGACGGTTATTAACTTATTATTTGGTGAAATATTCATTCCTAAGGAGGCTAAAATTAAATAAAAGTGAAATCATAAGATTGAGTTAAAATAAATTAAAATTCTATTGATTTGAGTTAGTTCAAAAGTCACCTAAAATTAAATCGAATCAACTTGAGCCTATTATTAACTTTAGGATAAAATACATTTTTGGTGTTGATAGTTCGGGTTTGAATCTCCGACCTCAAAGTAAGGAATTAGTAGATGTACAACATGTAGGGGGTGAGGATTGAACTCACAATCTCCTGGTTTGAGCAAGTTATCGTTGAGCCATGCTAGCTTGACATTGACTCATGGACCTTGATTCAATATAAAAAAATAGGTAAATAAATGTTTAAGATATTATTAGCATTTACTCTATTTATTTATTTATTATTATACTTATTGTTGGGTTGGGTTGGATTCATTATTTAATAAACAACCCAAACAATTTAATTGAATCTAAAAATTACCTCAACCCAACCCACAAAATCCTAATCTCAAATCGCATCCGAAAATTTGAATTTACATGTAATAGTTATTAATTATTCGACAAGTAATGATTTAAGTGTTCAACCCAACGCTACTATTTTGATCTTTTGATCCGAGATATATATCTTAACCAGTTGAAATATGCTTAAATTGACATGTTGATTTAATATTTATTCAACATTGCATAATTGAAGTTCTTATGTTGATTGGAACCAAATAGGTGCTCAACATGAACAATGTGGGAAAATGATAATTGTCCACTAAAAAAACTAATTGAATTTAAGCATAAAGTTTCGTCAAATTAAGCTCTCAATTTGAATAAATGTTAAAATTAATACCCACATCTAAACCAAGTTAGAAAATTGCACAAAAAGCAACAAATAAATCATTTTAAATCCAATTAACAAAGTTTTAAAATTTCATTATTAAAAAAATGCCCAAATTTAGAAGCATCCTCACTCACCAGTAACCCATATAAAATCAATCTACTGAAGAAAAACTAAAATTTAGTGACAAATCATTGGAAACTCATTTAAATCAATAAAAGTGTACAGAAAATAAGATATCTTCAAGATATATATATATATATATATATATATTAAAAAAGGGAACACTTTGTATTATAAAAAGTTTGTCACGGAGACTACATTTAATGAGATATCCATCTCTACAAGACTACGAAGCTAAAGAAGCAAGAGTTGGTTGTTGAGTTATGGATTTCCTTCTTTGTTAAAAGATCTTCCACTTTATTGATGTCATCACATGGGACATGCCAAAAGGAGATGGAGTAGGATTTGTTATATATATATATATATATATATATAAATTCAAATGTATTTATTGTTTCAGATTCTCTTTCGAGAAGGTTAATCGCAATTAAGAAGTTTGATTCAATACGAAGACAGGAACAATTAAGGAGTCTTGCAAACAAATGCCTTCAAGAATTGCTAGGTGTTCGGATAACAACGAAGGGTATGTTTTTTTTTGTATATATATATATAAAATAAAGTTTTTATTTATTTATATATTTAGAGTATATAATTTAGATTCACTGTGAACTATTATTTTCTTTTAGAAATTGATCATCATCTCAACAAATATATATCATTTAATTAGTTAATTTGTTCATAATCTTCTCTAAAATGTAATTTAAGATACTATCTATTTATTTTTATAACTTTTATGTCAATTTCTCCTTTAAATTTGATATCTTTTTTTTTCTAAAAAAAGTTTTATCATATATTATTGTAATTGCAATTCTATAAACTCAATTGATGACAAAATTATGGATTTACCGTGTAATTAATTATAAATCATTTACATTACAGAAGCAATAAATTAACTAATGGATCTTTCCCCTTCAGAGCCCATTTTCTCAATTCATAATCCTACCGTCCTCCACCAAACAGTTTTAGACATAATATATATAATTGTACCACACTCTAGAATTAAACCTTTCCATTTTTTTTTATCTTCAAATAAGGATGAAAAAATAAATTAGTTGAGTTAATATAATATTATTATCATAATTTCCTAGAGTTATTATACAAGAGATCAAGTCATTTGCTAAAACAATTAGATTATAAAAATCAATCTGAATTTTCACTAGTTAAGATATGTATCTCTGATAAAGTGATAATGAGTTCAAATTCACACCCTACAAACTATTATATTAAAAAAGATTATAAACTAATCGAAAAATATCTAAGATTATTATTATTATAATTAAATTTCATCTATATGTATGATACTTTTGGTATTTGGAGAGAATCAAACGATATATCACTTCATAATGTTTGAATTAAATGAAAGGTCATTTAAAGTTTGGCCAGACATATAATTTGAGACCAAAATGAGAAAAATGAGCCTGTAACATGCAATTTCATGATCTAAAATAAGATTGTAATTTGTAACATGGTTACTTAATGTCAGTTAAAGTTGAATTAATTATATTTACGAGTATCAACTTTGATTCTAAAATATGATGCTTCCTCGTGTTTCAAAAAAAAAATAATAATAATGATGCTTCCTCTACTCTTCCGACATTTTTTTTTCAAGCTTCGATTGATGTCTGCACTGACAAATGTTCATCAAAACTTAAATCACCATATTTACCTAGATTTTTTTGTTCCTTTGAAAGAATTGTTTTAGCATGAAATATAGTGGGGAGATTATAATCTCACGGAACAACGTCTGACCTTACTACATCTGGTTGTCAAAGAAATATATAGTAAATTAATTTCTAGGTAGGTGGCCATTATAAAGTTTGAACTATATAAATCTTTTTGAACCAATTGAACCAAACAATTCCCTATATAAATCTTTTTGATTTTACCTTGGCCCATTTGAATTTGAACCAATTCACGATGGTTTAACACAAATTTTATATACAATAGAAACCCGTAATACAAATTTATAGCTATATTTCAAACAATTCAAGGATCAACATGAGTATAACTCAACAGTAATTGATACCTACTTCTCCCTATGAGGTCGGAAGTTCAAACCCCCATATCCCAATTTGTTGTACTAAAAAAAATTCAATGATCAAAAATGTATCAAAATAGTCAAATTTTAAAAATACAGAGATCAAAGTAAACATTTTGATAAAACAAAAATTGAAAATATAAAGATAAAAATAGACATTTTAAAAATATAAAGTCCAAATAAGCCAAAAGTAATGACATTACCAAAATAGTATTCCCGCCCGAAATAATATTTAAAACAAAGATTTATCACACAAATCCAAGGTCATAAATAGAATTTACAAAAATAGGTAATTGATTAATGCTATTGATTTCTTATTCTCTCCCTTTCAGTCCTCGTTTTATTATAAAATTTGGCTCCACCTATTTTCCAAAGGCTCAAGGAAGTTACCCATCATGGTCAATTTATCCCAACTCCTTCCCCACACGCCAATGTAACTAATAAAAGGGGCATTTGAAAACTAGCAATTTTGACGTAAGCTTTTTTTCTGATATACTATTTGAACTGACAACTTTTTTTATAGTCTTAATCAGCTGAGTTAAGCTTAAGTTAATTTATGTAGTATAAGCTCGTTAAGCCTAGTAAATCATAAAGTCACATCAAATCAAAGAGCTACGAACCAAAATTTCAAACAAAAATACACCCACACCACACCAAAATAGTTAAACAAGCGTCTGGTTGCCTAGTTCAGTAAATCTAACTGCACACAAATTCCACCCACTGTTTTTCTCCAAAACCCAGTTCCTATTTTTTCCCACCAATTCATTCAAAAACTGAATTGTCAGGAAAGCCCTTCTATGTGGCAGTTTCACATGCATACATGCAAGCATATGTGAACCTAAGTGTTGTAACAAGGACAAACATAAATATATACAGACAAAATCACATATCATTACATATGAATATAATAATTACCATGGTAAGGAGAGAGATGATAAATTTACAATTGGGATTCTCCCTATAAAAATTGCAAATTTTGTGGCAGAATGGTATGAGAGACAGAGAATGCACATGTATAAAAGCATAAATTAACCATGATTGGGAGACAAGAAAATTTATAAGATAAATTGGCATTATAAAAATGCATACCTTATATAAAAAGGATATATCTAAAGGGGGGAGAGAGGGTGAGTAGCCCACCAGCATCCGCTTGGTACTTCCAGCCGCCCGCCCGCCCTGAAAGAACAGGAAGAAAGAAGATAACAAAAGAAAAAATAATTGTCAGTTGGCTGCTAAACGTCAATTTCATTTCTCTCTCTTCTTGCATGCATAAACACACCACATGACCCTTTTCATATGCATCTATCTGGTATTCCAAATCCAATGATTAACCTGCCTCTCTCATCACTTTCTCTCCTAATCCATCCAACAAAACCTTCCCCCTTCTTTAATTATTTATCCCTAATTATTCACACATCTCAATCACACCCACACGCTACCAAATATACATATGCTAAAACTTCCATTGTCCTTTTATATATATTCTCAACTACTCTATACTTCAGCCATAAACTTGTCAAAGAAACAGGGAAGCAAACATGGAAACAACTTCGTGGGTTAATCCCAATGTATGACTTATTTCTCAAGAGAAACTTGAGCCACCATCCCTTAACTGGCCCCATTCATCCTCTTCCTGATTTGCAAGGGCACAGCTAAGTTTTCCGCCTGTAAACTTAAACCCCAACAATTTCCTGCAGAGAAGGGGGGGAATGCGTCCATTTTTCAGTTTTGAATGAAAATACTGAACCTGGCAAGGTTAGAGAAAAGTCCTATCGATGGAGATTCATTTAGAGAGACAGAAAGAGCAGAAACTATCTCTCTCAGCTGCCTTCTCTCTCTCTCCATCATCATCATCATCATCTTCTACTTCCTGCTCTTCCTCATCTTTCCATAATGATGCATATAGCTTTCCAGTTCAGAATGAGGACCGATCGTGGAATACTCCACGACTGAGATTTATTGACTTTCTTCGTGACAACGGAAGGGAATGGAAGTTGGCAGAGAAGCGGTTCGATCAGCTGTCTTGGACCAGTGTTGGCTCTGAACCAGCCGTGAAGTGGTCTAATTTTGCCTTCTGTATAGGTGAGATGCTAAGCAACATGGTTCTCTCTGTTTTTTTGTTATTATTTCAAATCACTTATTCTTCCCAACAATCAAAGACAAGCATGAAAATGAAACATCAAAAACTCAAACACGCGAGATTAATATGAAATTGTCATCAGTCATCAGTCAAACTCCAATATCGAAGCAACCAAGTAATCAGGAAAGGATTACATATTTAATTTAGGTTCCTTGGTCTAAAAAATTAGTATAAAATTACTTGATTTATAAGAAAAGATGAAGTGAGTCAATTGTTCATAAATATTTTAGTAATTTAAATATAGAGTCAAGTATTTAAACTATTCAAGTTAAAAGTTCTTTTCTATGAGTTTATGCATCAAGCATTTATCTTTTCCCTCATTTCTATCGAGCAGGAATGTCAGAGTCCCAGGAGTTTGCTTATGAAGTGTTGAGGGCGCTGAGAAGAAGAAAGGGTTGGAGAACAGAAATCACCAAAAGTGAATTTCATATTCTCTGGTGTCGGATAACTCACTCGAGTGTTAAATCAAGAACAAGAATTCTATTTGACCTGTAAAAACTATCATCCCTTGATTCTCATTTATTTTCCAACAAATATAAAACCCACTCCTCTTATTCCTGATTTCTTTTTCTGTTCTCTGTAATTTCCTTCAGTTGTGATAAGAACATGGATGGAAGGGTAACTGAGAAAGATATCAAACAGGTTTGTCTGAACTTTTACAATGTTCTCTTCTTTTTGGGGATAAAGTTAACCTCAACGGAAAGAATACTCTCAGTTTTTTGTTGTTTTGGTGTTAATGTGATTGTGAATTTGGGACCCTTTCAGATAATACTATTAACTGCTTGTACCAATAAGTTGTCTGTGACCCACGACGAAGCAGAAGATTATGCAGCCTTAGTCATGGAAGTGCTAGATGAAGAAAAACAGGGCTATGTTGAGGTATTATTATATATATCGATATCGTTTTCCTTCAAACTCAAGATCAATTTCATCCTATTTAAACAAAGTGAACATGGATCCACGGTTATAATTTCGATGTACCACTAGTTTTTTCACTACCATTAATTATAGAGTAATAGTAATATTATTTTTCTCCCAAATGAATCTAAACATTGAAGACTTCCCTAATCAAGTAACATTAATTCTGCACCTAATGATTAGAAGAAAATTGAAAAACATTTCTAGTACTATGGGATTGCCATACACATGTTACTACTGCTGCTAATATCATTTCAAGGATAAGAACAAACTAGTACCCATAAAAAGATCATAAAAGGTAGTCCTACCTACTCAATACTCTACGCTACTGTTGTATCAAATGCATTATCAAACAGATCAAAGAATTCAAAGATGCCAAGTAAAAAGGTGTAGACTAGCCAAACTTCTTTGTGTACGTTATGTATCATTCTGCATGTGAGAGAGAAAAAATATGACATAATATAAGAATGGACTAAATAAGTGTAAATGAAGTAACTTTATATAAATTGCAGCTACCTCAATTTGACAAGCTCTTCAAGATAAGCGCACCAATGGCTCTATCCCATCTAAACAAACAGTCATCAAATGCACGCCCTGAGCATCGCCATGACCCATTTCAAGAGTCAATATGGGAGGTTGAAATGTTGTTTAGATCTCAATGGAGACGAGCATGGATTGTGGCTTTGTGGTTGATCATATGCCTTGCATTATTCACCTGGAAATTCATTCAATACCGCCAACGAAAGGCATTTGAAGTCATGGGCTATTGCCTCTCAACTGCCAAGGGGGCAGCAGAGACATTGAAATTTAACATGGCTCTAATCTTGCTCCCTGTTTGCCGAAACACAATTACATGGCTTCGCAGAAATTTGTCTCTGAACACAGTCATTCCTTTCAACGACAGTTTAAACTTCCACAAGGTAAATGAAGCTTCGGTGTCTTATATTTGAGGTCGCATAACAAAAAGAAGTCCAATTTGGCTATTCCTATCAATTTACTTGGTTAGAGTGTCATTGGTTTGTCCAGAAACTACACTAATGCATATGTTTTTCTAACCTAGTTAGTTGCAGGAGGCATTGTAGTAGGAGTTATCCTTCATGGAGGAACCCACCTTGTTTGTGATTTTCCAAGAATTAGTAGTTGTGACAAGTCAATTTTTCAGCAAACTATTGCTGCCCGGTTCAACTACCATCAGCCATCTTACGTTGAAATCTTGGCCACAACTGAGACTTTAACAGGCATTGTTATGGTCATATTGATGGCAATTGCATTTTTGCTGGCTACAAAGTGGCCACGCCGCAATTCAACCTCACTTCCAAGGTCCATCCAACAAGTCACAGGATACAATACCTTTTGGTATTCCCACCACTTGTTCATATTTGTGTATGCATTACTCATCATTCACTCGATATTCTTATTCCTAACTGACAAAGCAACCGAAAAAACGGTAAGCCAGTTTTCTCAGCTCAACCTTTGTAAGTGCATCATATATTCTCTTCGAATTTGTGCATAGTCCATCGATTATGAGGTGATAACAGATCATATAATAGGGGCAATTTGCTTATCAGCGATACCCGCACAGAAACACATGCAGAAATATGAACTATAACAAAGAAAATCCATCATATCTTTTCTCTGAAGTATTTTCTAGATGCTCGAATTTTAAAGCTGATTCTGATTTGTCTAATTTTTTTGTGAAGGCTTGGATGTATATAGCAATACCAGTTTTATTATATACTGGAGAGAGGATTTTTAGAGCCATTAGATCTTGTTTGTACGAAGTGAAAGTTTTGAAGGTACCCCTATTTTCCTTTCCTATTTAGAGGAGATGAGAACGTCGACCTCGAATATGAGTATTTAACAATATTCGTGTGTTTATTATGTATTATATGCAGGCGAGGACTTATTCAGGGAAAGTTTTATATCTCGGATTGAGCAAACCAGAGAGATTTAAGTATCGAAGTGGGATGTATGTATTAATTCAGTGCCCTCAAATCTCCCCATTTGAATGGTAATACGGCCAAATAAGTTTCAGTCTTCTAGCAGCTATGCTCATTAATTCTTAATGTACTAAAAGGTGGTATGGTATCATCTTCATCTTTTAGGCACCCGTTTTCATTAACTTCTGCACCACAAGATAATCACCTCAGCGTGCATATCAGAAATCTGGGAGACTGGAGTTATGAGCTCTACAGCCTGTTTCAAGAGGTAATACACGAAGGGTGTCTGGTGTATAGGATAAAATTTTACAAATCGCTTAAAGCATCATCTCTCTTTCGTTATGGTTTAGTTCTTAGAGACAATAAGTTATTACAGTGTCATTTTTCATGAGAACTTAAATAGACCTCATCTGATAAGTACTAGAAACATTCTCTTGGACTAGGTTGAGCATTCTAAATTAAAGCTGACACTTGAACTAAAGGTAAAAAGGAATCATAATCAAGCCCAATCTTAATTGTAAAAATTTATGATCTATAGGGAATGTCTCCTGCTTCAAAGGAGTACCCGAAAATATTCATTGATGGACCCTATGGTGCTGCTTCTCAAGACCATGTCAAGTACAACCATGTGGTGCTAATTGGCCTGGGTATCGGAGCCACACCCTTCATGAGCGTCCTAAAATATGTTCTAAACAGGTTTACTGGGAAATGTGATGGTAATGTAAGACTACTTCTTCCCTATGATTTTATTTCCTCAATTTCAATCCATTACTTACTAAACAAAGTTTGACTGTGGTTTAAAATTGGGTAGACTGACAATGGAGAAGGCAGCCTAAGTACATCCAAAACCTACCTTTACTGGGTTACGAGAGAGCAAAGCTCCTTTAATTGGTTTAAAGATTTCATGAACGATTTAACACTTTCAGAGAAAACTCAGGTAAGAGCCATGTAACTAAATACTTAGTCCTGAAAAATATGCTTCTAGATATTTTGATTGGCATCTTGTATATTTAAAACAATTCGTATGTCATAATGCTCTTAGTCAGCTGTGGAGATGCACAATTTCCTCACCTGTGTATATCAGGAAGGGGATTTAAGGTCTGTTTTGATAAGAGCAATTCAAGCTCTGCATTATACTCAAAGGGGCATCGACATCGTCTCCAGGACTCCTGTAAGTTTCCATATACACTGCCTGAACCTAAGATCAAGTTATATACCATTGGGCAGCCTACATTGTCTAAAAATTGAATAAGAAATCTCCAATTCCCATAATTTCCAGATCAAAAAGAAATTAACTCACGTAGTGGAGGCTACTGAACCGAGTAATAAGTTTTATATCAATCAAGTCCTACAAAATGGGCGTTCCTTTCACGCAAAAGGTGAAATAATTTGAGTGCATGGTTACCATACCTGCCAACTTTGCCTAATCTCTGCACTCCTAGATTAGGTTATAATATGGATTACCATGGGGAAAACATTTCATTCTTAAAATTGCAAAGTTAAGATTGGGCTTCAAAATTTGTTATCAATTAACTACTTTTTCTTCGATATCTATTTAATTGTGACTTACCTTAAAACTACTCTGACAAAATATTTTTCTGTCCTTGGGTTTCTTCTATTTAGATTTTATCCTTATTCGCTTAAAATTTTCATAAAATAATAATGCTATTGCATACAAGCAATTATATAAGGAAACACTTCGAAATAACAATGTTGTTTCTGTGTTATATTAGCAAGAAGTATTTGCTGAAATGAGTCAACAATATATTGAAATTTATAAATGAATTTTATCTCTTAAATTTGAAGGTACGCACGCTTTTTGGTCGGCCAAACTGGATAACCATCTTCTCGAATTTGGCTGAGAGGCACAATGGAGAAAGAATTGGTAAGGTCAAAGCAAATTCAAACTTCTCTTAATCCTTCGTAATGGCCTGAACTAAAACTTCGTTGATTGTGGTTTGGTTTTGAACAGGGGTTTTCTACTGTGGTCCATCGGCATTGGCAAGAGAACTGGAGGGGTTATGCACCAAGTTCTCCACCAAAACCTCAACTAGATTTGTATTCCACAAGGAGAACTATTAATTTAACAACATTTTCCAAGTATACAAAATTGCACCGCTTCCGCAGGTGGAAATGGCACAACAGCCAAATAATATTTATAGCATTACAGTGTATTGCTTTGCTCTAGCCTCGTCCCTCCTAGTCACTAAATCGGCTAGGCGACGTTATTTCATATGCACCAATACATTAGTAAGTCAAAACAATATTCAAGGACCAATATAAAAAATGAAGACAAATCGGAACCAAACAGAAGTTCGATGAATGGTAAATTACTATGCGCAGACAAAAGAAACTTACGGAATGGCACCATCCAGACAATACGCTTGAATATGCATCATTGTTCTCAAAAACTGGCAGTAGAAGATCTCGCAATTATCAACCCAGCGCTGCTCATTTCTGCAAATCGAAGTTATGAATCAAACCGATTCAACTAATCAACAATACGATCAGCAAAGACGGTTCGGTTACTTTCCATCCAAAGCTAAATCGCTCAGTTGTCAAAAAAGCTTCATGTAAAATTGAAATCCATATATACCGGTGGAGAAGCCAGAGCGCGTAAAATTGAATTCATTCGAGAGAGAAAGAGCGAGAGATTGTTACCGGTGATCGTAAGGCGTTCAAACATCTAGCCGGAATGCAGTTGTAGCAGTCAATGCGGCGGCGATAGGGTGGCACGGAGAGAAGATAACCAACGATCAACCGCTCAAACGCGCGCTCTGTCTTTTTGTTGATTTGTTGAAATGTCCCGCCGTAAATCCCTTATATATTCTAAATATGGTATTAAATATCGTGTCAATATTTTATTGGTATTTTCATGTATTTATGGTTCGATACTCGACAGGGACACGAAGAATAAATCAATATTTTCGTAATATTTTAAAAATTCGACCGAATATGTAAAATCTTAACAAAACCTCACTATTATAGTAATATTAATATTAATTGTTTTTAATTTATTTATAAATAATGAAACTCTTAGTTTTTATTTATAGATTTTTTCTTTATAACTTATAAAAGAAAATAAATTTTCTTTATAACCACTTTTTTCTTATAATATTTAAAGTTTGGTAGAAGTGAAAATGGAAGATATAAAAATAATGTTATTACCGAACTATGGAGTATGGTTTGAAAAATTATTATCTAACAAAAAAGGATGGTAAGGTATGGTTCAAAAAATTAATTCTCCAATTGGGGAAGGATGGTCTGGGGAAAAGATTATCATTTTTGTTTTGTTTTGTTTTATAGTATTGTATTTATTCTTAAAACAGTAAAATAGTTTTAATACAATCATTCTTGGTTCAAAAAAATTATGAAAATTATATATATATCACATTGGACTATTGTTCTCAATTCAAAATATTAATAAAACAGTATTAATGAATTCTTTAGAAATAATTTATTTGAATATTTTATAATTTTTAAATTATAATATGTAATTTAACCTAAATTTTAATAACGCCCATTTTTCCTGCTCTGGAACCCTACACCGGAGTGAATGCACAACGTCTCCGTCTGGCGGGAGGCGGAGAACCTTGAGCACGTCAAGCTCGCCCTCCCTATTCCTAATGGCGGCTCATTCCTCAACTTCCAGTAATGACAAAGCTTTAAGAAGCGCAACTTCTAATCAGTTCTTCGGTGAGCATTTCTGGATTTCACTTTCTTGCTGGGAATCATTTATTCATGGCGTTCAAGTGGAATAGCAGTAATAGTTGCATGTTGAAAGAATTTAGGAAATGAGATTGCAATGATTTTCGTTTTCTGAAAAATTGAATTTAGAGGAAGAAACTACTCCAATCCACTATGAACACGGATTCAGGACTCTGTCTTCTTGTATTTGTATAATTTTCGAATCAGTCCAACCAATGGAGGGATTATGGTGACTTTTTCGTCATGGGAAAGTCTTAATAAAAGGAATAATAAATAAATAAATAATCGATTGTTTGCTTCCTGAGAGCTTCATGGGTTTGGATTATCAATAGAAGTAATTGCAAATACGTGCGTAATTATAGTTAACAATCATCCTCTTAGTCTTGTAGCAAGTAGTGAAGTGCTAGTATTGAGATACTTTATTGTGACCAATATGCTGTTGCTACGTTTTCTTGCAGCATGGAGGGAGTTTCTATGGGGAGCTATCGCTGGAGCATTTGGGGAAGGAATGATGCACCCTATTGATACCGTGAAGACCCGGATTCAAAGCCAGGCTATTCTATATGGAAGTCAAGTATGACGCATAGGAGAGCTCATAACTTGTGTCAGTTGATGAAAATACTTTTAATCTTATGTTCAGGATGTCAGCTTGGTGATAATTTAATATTAAAGATTTACTATGGCATATATCATAGCTTTAGGCCCCCCGCCCAAGACTTGGTTCATCTGGAAATTTCCTAACTTGAAATTTTTATTCATTTTCATTTCGTCCGTATCAGAATCAAAAGAGCCTGTTGCAGATGATCCAATCAGTATGGAAAATTGATGGATCAAGGGGTAATTTTTTTCCATCCTTCAACCTATTTTTTATTTTTTTTTAGAAGCGGCTGAAAATTCAATTTCCCTTTACCTTCTTTTTGTTATTTTGAAAAGTTCATATTTCTTAGATGCAATTGGCTTCGCTGTATTATTTGGTTTTGTATCATCATCTAATAGCTATTTAGGCTTTTATAGGGGCTTAGCTCCTGGAATTACTGGCTCACTTGCCACTGGAGCTACATACTTTGGTGTTATTGAGTCCAGTAAGAAATGGATTGAAGAATCACATCCTAGCCTTGGTGGTCATTGGGCTCATTTCATTGCCGGAGCAATTGGTAAGCTCTCCTTATTCTGTCCCAAATTTTTATCTCACTTTTTGAGTCATGCCACCATGCGATATTTGCTATTAGACTTTTTGACAAAGTTCTATGCTAATGCATTCAGCAAAGGAATAATGATGGGTGTATTTACTCTTCCTGTTTCATTCTAAGCTAGTTAGTGAGATTCATTACCCCTTTTTCTTCAATATGTGCACTTCGTACTTCCTTTCCAAAAAAAGAATATGTTTTTTAAATTTTAGATCAAGTATTACATTTTCTGGGACTCGTGTTGATATGAGATCATGCCTGGATAATGTGGTGCTTTCCATTCTATGAAAGAGGATTCCCCATTTTCATTTTTCACAGGTAACACCCATGACATCCACACCCAGTTAACTTTCCTTGAACGAATTCTTAGTTCTCTGGCCCGTTCCTCCAATGTTAACTATTGAAAACCAAAGCCTGCGTGAACACCATAATAAGCTTTTTTACATGTTTCGTGGCTTCTTACTCTTTTTTTTTTCTGTGCCCGTTTCAGGTGATACACTCGGTTCATTTGTATATGTTCCATGTGAAGTTATGAAGCAACGGATGCAAGTGCAAGGCACAAGGTCATCTTGGATTTCCCTTCCCATGAAGGATAGCATCTCTATGAATCATGGTGGGCATATGTATGGCTATTATTCAGGGATGTTCCAGGCTGGTCGTTCAATCTTGAAGGAACAAGGATTAAGGGGATTGTATGCAGGGTTTGAACTCTAAACCAGATCATTTAATTCATAATTTTGGTAATAATACACTGAGTGCGAAAAATAATTACAGCATGACTCTGACCTTCTCCCTTGTATCTTGCTAGATATTGGTCCACACTTGCCAGGGATGTGCCATTTGCCGGTCTAATGGTACGTAAAATTTTGAATCTCTGTACTTTATTTTAGTTGCTGCCTTTTTTCCTCTGTTAGTTTTGCTATTGGATCATTTTCTTCTGCATTGGTTTTTAAGTTGTGTATCTGCAGACATTACTGTGATGCTAGATTCAAAACATGGTGCTAAATTGCTAATTGATATATCTGGAAAAGGCATCTCTCATGCACATGCACATGCACAGATATGTCGTGGAGATACTTTATAGAGTTTTACATTCACTCGTTAAATATTATTTAGACATCTTTCTGTAAATAACATGTAACAAAATGACCGACAATTCAAATTTCTGTTAGCCTAAAAAAAAAAATTCCTGTAGGAAATAGCAGACATATTTTGTATTTAATCATGTTTTCTCTTGCGGTAACTTATATTATTTGTTTGAGTCTCGTCCCTTTGACTTATATCATACTGTGGGTATTCAAATTGAAGATTTGAAGAAAAAAAAATGCTTAATGCTTTTATTGACATCGTCTTGTGGACTGTTCTTAATCACTGACACAAATGGATCAACAGAGAGAAGAATGAACATTGATTCTCTATCTACTGCGTCTCTTAGATGTATGTATTTGTTAAATGGTTTCTTTGACACGCTGCAGGTCATGTTTTATGAGGCACTAAAAGATTTGACCGAGTATGGGAAGCAAAAATGGAGGCCTAATTCAGCTGTTAATAGCTCCTTGGAAGGACTTGTGTTGGGGGGATTGGCTGGTGGTATGCATCTTGATACCACTTCACTGTCAACAAATTAGTTCTGAAGCATTTTTGAAGAAAATGTTCACTTTTAGCTTGTATGATTGATGTTTAAATTTTAATACATGGTTCTAAATTTGTTAGGTCTCAGTGCTTATCTGACCACTCCCTTGGATGTGATAAAAACAAGAATGCAAGTTCAGGGATCAACTTTAAGGTATCAGATGATCATCAACCTTCTTGAATATGTTATTTCTAGTGCAATTTTACTCTTTACGACTGGCTTGGTGGATCTTAATTCGAGATAATGTGTATATGCGATACTTCCTCTTAAATCTCTTAGGTATAATGGTTGGTTGGATGCGGTGAGTACTATATGGCGGAGTGAAGGGATGAAGGGAATGTTCAGAGGTAGCGTACCCCGAATCACATGGTATATTCCAGCTTCTGCTCTAACTTTTATGGCTGTGGAATTCCTGAGAGACCATTTCAATAAAAGATTGGATGATGAATGCAAAAAAGAAGCTGCTACATTATCAGGCGACAGAAAAGGAACCTTGCGAGAAGCGGCGTAAACATCTTTACCGAATTGAATTTCGTCCATCGGCGGAGATTCATCAACTCTTGTCAAGTTCTGCAGATAAACACTGTAAGCTGTATTTGCAGAATCAATTAATCTAGAGGATCGTTAGGTGATGACAAACTAATGAAATCCATTGACTTGATGGAGGGGTCTATATTTTATGAGAGAGACCCACAATCAAGTCTCCAAAAGCAAAAGAAATGAATATAGAGAGAGACAATATAGGTTTATGTAATCTCAATTATTTGGTTAACTAATTGTCATTTCTATAGTTGGGGTTTAATTTCAATAGTGATTTGTATACTATGTTCTCAAGTTTAAAATAAAATAAAAAATTATTTATACTCATTTTCCCGGCATTCGTTTAAAATATAATTTATAGGTTTAAATACTATTTTGGTCTTAAAATTTTTAAAATATCTGTTTGAAAAATTATTTTGATTCCTAAATTTTCATATTGTCTATTTAATCTCTAAACATTCAAAAAAAGGATCATTTTAGTTCTTGCTGTATTATCTTGACACCTAATTTTTTTAAAGTTGTATTTTGTGGTTGAATATAAACCTATACTAACACATTAATATACATTTTTTAAGTTGAGTTATTTATTTGTTGAAATCAAAACAAAAGCAAGGAAATTAGTTCAAAGTTTAGGGACTAAAATAGACCTTTAAAAAAGAAAAAAAAGACTAAAAGACTAAAAGTTCAAGGACTCAAACAAATATTCGAAAAGTTTAGAAACAAAAATTGAAGCAATGATAGTTGAAAATTTAGGGACAAAATGAGATTTAAATTTAATTTATGTATTAATAAAGAGAATAAAATTCCAAAAGCTCTACCATCATGATTTCTCAAAATTACTGATTTAGATCCATACTTATTTTGTATTTTTTTTTTGAAAATTGAGTTTATAAAAACATCTTAATCTTCGTTCTCAAAATCTAAGCTAATTTTTAAAATTAAAAAAAATATTTGTTTCTTAAATTTAACTTGAAATGCAAATGCGTTTTTTTAAAAAATGTGATACTTCAAGAAATTGCAATGAACCAATAATAGTTAAAAAGAAAAAAAAAAGGAAAAAACGAAATAGTTATCAAACGAGTCCTATCTTGCCTTATCATGAATTGAATTAAAAATCAAATTGAATAGTGGGTTTGAAAATTGTATTACTCACAATACTTTCTAATTAAATTATTATTATTCAAAAATGATATAAATTGTAAACTTATAATCACATCAAAAAAATACTTTTACGACATTTAAATAAAAAAGTAATGATATTTTTATAAATACATATATATTTATTTCATGCATGTTTTTTTTAGAGGTATTTTATGCATGTAGTATAATAATTATCTTAGCTTTATTATTATTAAAAAAATTCACACCGCGTCTTACTATTACGCTATTACGAAAGAATTCCGAATTTAATACGGAAATCAAATATTGATTGATTTTGTGTATAAATAACGAGATTCAGCTAAACCTCAACCGAAGCTTCTCATTCAATTTTCAATTTCTCATTTCAATTCTCAATTTTCAGCCAATCCGAAATCGTAGCGTAGCAGCGAAAGCAGAAGAAGAATCCCTAATTCCGAGCTTTCCATCCATGGCGTCCGGAAAGCGATGCCACTACGAGGTCCTCGGCCTCCACCTCGACTGCACCGCCGACGAGATTCGATCGGCGTACAGAAAGCTCGCCCTCCAGCGCCACCCCGACAAGCTTGTCCAGTCCGGTTTGTCCCAAGCTGATGCCACCGCTCAGTTTCAAGAGCTCCAGCACGCTTACGAGGTCCTCTCTGATCCCAAGGAACGCGCCTGGTACGACTCTCATCGTTCCCAAATCCTCTTCTCTGATGCCGCCTCCGTCAATTCCAACTCTGTTGTTCCCAATCTGTTTCCGTTTTTCTCCAATACTGTTTATTCTGGCTATTCCGATTCTGGAAGAGGGTTCTATAAGATCTATGCTGACCTTTTTGACACGATTTACGGTAACGAGATTAATTTTGCCAAGAAATTAGGATTGCGTTTAGATGTGGTTCGCGAGGCTCCGGTCATGGGGAATGTGGATAGTCCGTACACGCAGGTGACTGCGTTTTATAATTACTGGCTCGGGTTTTGTACGGTTATGGATTTTTGCTGGGTTGATCAGTACGATGTTATGGCCGGTCCCAACCGGAAATCGAGGAGGCTAATGGAGGAGGATAACAAAAAGCTGAGGAAGAAGGCAAAGAGGGAGTACAACGAGACAGTTAGAGGCTTGGCTGAATTTGTGAAGAAGAGGGATAAGAGAGTGATTGATATGGCTATGAAAAGGAACTTGGAAATGGAGAAGAAGAAGCAAGAGGAGAGGGAAAGAAAAAAGAAGTTAGAGAGGGAGAAATTGGAGAAGCTGAGGGCATACGAGGAACCAGATTGGGCAAAGGTCGAGGAGGTCGAGGAGGATGCAGGAGATGAGTTTGAGGAAGAGAATAAGAAAGAGAAAGAGCTGTACTGTGTTTTGTGTGGGAAAAAGTTCAAGAGTGAAAAGCAATGGAAGAATCACGAGCAGTCTAAAAAGCACAAGGAGAAGGTTGCAGAGTTCAGAGAATCACTAGATGATGAGGATGAATCTGAAGGGTTTGTTGATGAAGGAGAAGCTGAAGCAGAAGAGACTCTGCTGGATGATGAGATGGATAAACTAGGGGAGCAGTTCAAGGAGAGTTTCGATGTTAAAATCGAAGAAACTGAAAGTGGGCCAGAACTTAGTGGGAGTGAACACACTGATGTTCATGAGATTGATAGAACGGATATGGTCGCAGAGGCACTTGGATTGGATGACGACGACGAACTTGATGTTCTTGAAGCAATGGCGGCTGGGCTTCGGAATAGGAAAAATGCTGCATCAGTGCAGCAGCCTAAAGCTTCTTCAGTAAAAACTCGTGTCGAGAATGAGAGCGATGAGCTTAGCCCAGGAGAATATGAAAATGGCAAGAGGGGGAGAAGGAACCGTCGAGCCAAAAAGAAGGGCAAGGGAAATGATGAACCTATGAATGAAACAGATTCCCAAAATGACAAAAACATTGGAGATGATACATCACATCGACATGATTCTCCTTCACATTCGTCAGGTAACAAAGAAAGTAGTGATAAGGGAGCCAGCGAGTTGGCAAAAGAACAAAGGACTTCAAGTAAACCTGCTGATCGAAAAGCAGTTGTGCAGAACGACATGAAGACGAACCCTAGGCATTCATCTAAAGGAAAGAAATCCAAGGTAATTTACCCTCTGCAGATTCCTTTTTCTAATTCCATCATTTATTTTAGTTATACGATCCTTTATATGCAATGACACTTAATTTTCTGAACTCTGAGCTTCTATATTAGCTTTCATGTGAAAAATATCATGTATTCATTAGTTCCATTAGGTAAAGGTTTTTGGTTTTTTAAATTTAATTTCGAAAAACTAAGAACCCCTTTAACAACTATTTTGTTTTTGATTGTCTGCTTTTGAAAATTTAGCTCATAAACACTACTTCTACCAACCATTTTGTTATCTACTCATTAAAAATGTCTTCAAAATCTAAAACAACTTTTAAAAACTAAAATGGTGAAAAACCTACAAAGAAATTGAGAGAGGGAGAAGCGGGCATAATTTTAAGAACAGAAAATTAAAAACAAAGTGCCTAAATTAATGAAGTATTAGATCAGCAACCCAGTTAAGCTTCCATATTAGCTTTAATGTTCCCCTTCCCTGTAGTTAGATTATTGATTATTGATTAGTTTTATATTCACAATGTCCTGATGATATAATTTCAAAATTAGGCAACAACAAAGGATTCCGCCAATTCATGCGAAACATGTGGAGAGCAGTTTGAATCAAGGTAAAATCCTTCCTGCATCGTCTACTTTTCACTGCCATTTCTCCCATACCTTATAATGTAAAATACAATCACTTTTAGGATGATTCCATTAAAACTCCCCTTTTAATGTGCCATGGCAGGAATAAACTGCACAAGCATTTGGGAGCAACTGGACATGCTGCTCTAAAATATCGATGACAAAGCTATAGCAAATCCACATCAATTTTGACCTTTAACAAGATTTTGAACAAGTTCCATACCACATCCTGCGGGAATTTGAATCACCAATTGAGGATGATGATAGCTTATGCAGATTGTTATCTATCTGGAAAATGGTATGATTTTTACATTCATTGTTTTACTGTAAACTGCAACATTCCTTCCAAGTATTTAAACCTTGTGATTTATTGAATAAAATTGAATACGATTTGAGTGGCCCCTTAGGAGGGTGTAATACCAGGAGAGAGTTGCTAAATGTTGCATTTAGGAGAATTAAGAGGATTTTCAAAGACAGTTTTGAACTGATCTTCTTTATGTTGAACTAATTGTGTATTTTCGGTTTTGATTGTGGAGAGTTTGTTGTTTTATTTCTGAACTCACAGCCACCAAGAGCAACAACAGCCGACGCGACGGCTTTCTGAACTTAAAATTGTAACAATTTCAATAATGAGATTGAAGCATAAATTATTGTAGAGTTTGACGGTAAAAGAATAAATTTGATGGAAAATGCACCACAATATATTTAAACGGGAGAGGATCCCTTCCATTTTTGGAGAAGATAGCATCTGCCGGAGGAAATATATGTGGATTATGATTCTTACAAATTTATTATATATATATATCGAGTTCAAACAATTCAATATACAGGCAAAATTTAAAAATGAAATATATGAAAATAAATAGTGGGATATAGAAGGCTGTTTCGGTTTTGGAAAGTAAAGCAATTTCTTTTCCATATAAAAATATTTTATTTTCAAAATCTGTTAAAAGAGGGGTTGTCATTTATTAGGGGTTTGATTGTAAACTTTATATACCTGTTAGCCTGAAAATGGAGAATTTTGAAAATAAAGCTAATAGTAGACAGTTGTGTAATTGGATTATATATAAACTATAAAGGCTATCAATGTAGTTATTCGAAAAATTAAGCTTTACAAATGAAAGAAAAACGCACAAAAATAGTCCACCAAACTAAAATAACAAACTTCAATCAAGTAAGATTTGATCTAATGAATAATTAAAAAAAATAGACAAAAAAGTCCAAAGAGAAATACGATATCGAACGAGATCCCTAACCTCCTCCTATTACTCTCCACCCCTCTAAAAGTTCAATTATTCCTCGCACCCACCACAAAACCCACCCTTATCCCAAACAGCCCTTTAAGGGGATGAAGAAGAATTACCACGAAATAAAAACAACAAACTGCTGAATCAAGAATATGTTATATGACAGTCGGTTCAACATATATAAAATACCAAACTGCTGGATGGCGCAGTAAGTTTCAACTAAATGTCTCTCCAGTCCTAGAATCAGACCTACACAACCACTATAATTTCATAAATACAAAATAGAAAGGTTGCAAATGACAAGGCTTGCGCTTACAGTGGCTTAGTTGAAGCATTCTGAACATATATCAAAGCTTCCTCTTTTGAAAGTGGCCCTTCTACGAGTCCTTTAACAAGAGTATCGACGTACTCTTTTGGTGGTGCACAGAGGGGAACCTTCCCGGATTTGAAGTCTTCCACATCCAAATGTGAGCACCTGAGATTAAAAGGAAGTAAATATTACTAGCTACTCGAGTGTTCTTGCAGCATGAGTAGTTAGAGAGAAAACGAGATTTGAGGCATACGTCATCGTTACTATCGGAATATCGCGTTCCTTCCCAAAATATAGTAGGTTGTGATACCAGCCTCGCTGCAAAGTAGATCAAGCATTGTTTAAGAAATGATTGGGAAGAAAATAATTAGAATTGCCTTTCAAACATGTGAATTGGACTTATAAGAGGGAGGGAGGTGGGACATAGCCATCATGAGTTGGCTTAGTGGTCAATAAGGATTAATATAAATAGTAAAGGACTTGGAGGAAATGGGTTCAAATCATGGTGGCCATGAGTTTCCTTGGCAATCTAGTGTAGTAAAGTTAGGCAGTTGTCCTATTATTAGTTGAAGTACACGCAAATTGGCCCGGAAAAATGGATATAAAAATTAAATAATAATAATAATGATAATAAAAAGGAGGTTGTAAAGTTGACAACATACCCCAGCTGGAATTTCAATAGAGTTGAGGTGTTTGCTTGTGACTGTGTTCAAATTAGCCAGATCAAATAAAGGGTTATTAGAAAGGAAACCACTGCCTCTGTTTTCCTGATGCAAAACATCGTTAAATTGCTCCAGCCTGTGAGAGAAAATCGAGAGCGGAAAATTAAGATTTTGTGCTAGAAAACATGATTAGGAGTATTGGGAGAAACGTGAGACTTCCCAGATTAGAAGAAAAGAGATAAAGTAATAAACTCACGTAATTCTATACAAGCACAAATAAGATTTCTCCTCGCTGTTGCTTTCAGGATGAAGAAAAGCAACTCCTCCTTGGCCCCAAGTATTACTATACTCATGACCGAAAAATAGACGGTGAGTAAAAGTTTTCCACAGAGTCTCCTTTGGTGGAGTCTTATCCATGGAACCTGTACACAGCTTTTTCATACCCTCCACCTAAAAGTTTCTCTTCAAATGTTAGAAGAGGTGTGAGTTTACATGAGGAAAAATAAGAAGTGACACTCCAAATCAGAAAGAACCAAATACGCATTCTCAAAATGTAGACAGTGTTCCACGAGTATGTGAAGCTTTTAAATGAGGGAAAATAAGAAGTGACACTACAAATCATAAAGAACCAAATACACATTCTCAACATGTAGAGTGTTCCACAAGTATGTGATGCTCCTATAACTGACATTTATGGGTAATAACATGATTTTACAATTATAGATTTAAGCATCCAAGATCGTCGAAAGAAAAATATTGTAGAAGTAGATGAAGTAGAACCTGTCCTCCTTTGATATAACAAAGGAATCTTGGCTCCCACAAATTTGATCCAAATGCAGCATACCAGACATCAGTTTTTGAGAGCTCCGATCTCCAAGGGTAAGTTGCATTAAGCACTTGATCTGTTTTGTTATGAAAACCATCATAAGAACCAGAGCTTTCTTTGAGGAGTACTAAATCTGAAAGACAAAAATAAAATAATAAAATAATAAAAATAAAATATCCGCTGACATTTGGCAGGAGTACGATCTCACGTGTTAGAGTATTCTGAGAGTCGGCTAAGAACTCTTAACCCGACAGTACGACCCAAATTTTCCATAGCACGTTCTCCCAAATCGCTTTCCTATAAAATGAGTCCAACCCTTCTCAAAGGTACGCAATATCTGGCACCATGCTATTTTCTTTCCTATCTCAACTCTTTCAAATTGAGTTTTGACTAAAGCTTCGAAGTGCATTTGGCAGAGCACTACGCTAGTGTTGAGTTCGGTCTTGCAGGTTAAACGCACAAGAAGGAGGCTACTGTGTGATCGTCAGCTACCCATATCAGCAGACTGGACAACGACAACATCTTTGTTGGTAGTTGCCATCATGAAAGAATGTGGAAAAACGAAGAGGAATTGGGAAAAAAAGATCCGAGTCCCGCCACCCTAAAATAAGGGGGCAAGATCATTCTCGACTGTCCAAGAACAACCCTATCCAACGGTAGTAAAAATAAGGCGGTTGAGACAGAGAGACATGTCATCTGACACTGCACAGGAAGATGAGGTGACGTGGTCCATCCCATCACACACGCCTCGAGCCACATGAAGCGTCACAATTTTCAGTCGAAAAGTCATCAGTGGCGTCCGATCACAATATGACGCATGACAAACTGCGGGAAAAATGCCTAAGTCTGGGGGTCCACCTTCAATGGAAAACCTGGGGCCGAAAGACAACTCCCTTCTCAAGGTGTTCATCTGGAACAAGCCTAAGTCTAGGGGCTCACCCCATGACCAAAATCCTATATCTGAAGGGCAACTCCTTTCTCAAGATGTTCATCTCGGACAAGTGTAAGTCAAGGGGCCCACCTCAGGACCTAAATCCAAGTCCGAAAGGCATCTCCTTTCTCAAGGTGTTCATCTCGGATACTACGAAATCACATTTAGACCAAAGATGTGATGAAGGTGGGTGGAACTTGTTATGGATAAAAACCCACCATCCACGTGGTCACACCCCAAGAGGCCACGTAGGTCATGGGCCTTGCTCAATTACATCTAGAGCCCAAGGGATAGAAATCAGCACAGCCGGACCAGGGGTATAATAAGCCCATGTCAGAACCTCAAGCATAGGATCCCAAAAACAAAAGTCGAACCACAGTAAAAAATGATTTCACCGGTCGACAATCTTCCAGACATTCTAATACCACGCTGGCTGATGGTATGACCCAGATATGGAAAGATACACCATCTAGGGGTGAGCGTGCCAATCCGAAAAACTGAGCCGACCGACTGAAATCAACCGAAAAAAGGTCGGTCGGTCGGTTTTGGAAATTCAGAACCGACTCGGTCAATCGGTCGACGGCCTTGGCCCAGGCAATACTGACCGACCGACCGACAATATAATATTAATACGTTTTATATATATATTTAGTTATTAAAAAAAACAACAATTAAACCTAGGGCTAGGGTTGTTCTCTTCTCTCACCCTCTC